TAATTTTACTTTAGATAAAACGAGACTCATTGCAGAACTTTTAAAATGTTTTTGTATAATAGGCACTATAGAGTACATACCTAAGGGTGGATTTATCTGTATGGCGGTCTTTATTTTAGGGTTAACGTATTCTTTAATTATATTTATTATATCTTGCTCTAGGTTGGACTCTGATACTTGAACAACTATTCTTGTATGAGTGTCAAATGGTTTAATGACGGAGGGGCGTTTCTTTACATCGTTTACTATGGTTATACAAATCTGTCTATGAAATTTGTTTAAGGGCTCGTCTGTCAAGGGTATTTCAAGGATGGGCTCCTCATTACTTGTGTGGGCTGTCATAGTACGCGAATTTGATACGGAACCTGGAGCGTCAGGAGCGTTGGGGATCATTGAGTCAGTTTCTTCATTGTGCAATTCAATCCGAGATAGAGCATCGGCGTTTGTATTATTTTTTCCTTTCTTATATATTATTGTATAGTCGTACTCAGAAAGTTTTAGTCTCCACCTTGTCAGTCGAGAATTGGGTTCCTTAATATTCATTATCCATTGAAGGGGCTTGTGGTCAGTGATAATTTTAAATTTACGTCCAAACAGGTAAGGTCTAAAATATTTGGTTGCCCAAACTATGGCCAAAAGTTCCTTTTCAATAACACTATAATTAAGTTCACTGTCATTTAAAGTCCTAGAAGCGTAACAAACAGGTTTGTCATGTCCTATTGGTCCTTGAGAGAGTATAGCTCCTACGGCTACGTTAGAGGCATCTGTGGTGAGATTGAATTCCTTATTAAAATCAGGATATTGGAGAATGGGATCATTGGTGAGCAACATTTGACATTTTTTGAAGGCTTCTATGTATTCAGAGTTAAAGGTGACTTTATTTGTTTTTTTAAGGCATTGAGTGAGTGGTTTGGTAATTCTAGCGAAATCGGGGATAAATTTTCTATAATAACCTATAAGACCAAGGAATTGCTTGATTTCTTTGGGTGTTTGTGGTATGGGATATTTTTCTATAGCTCTAATTTTATCGGGATTCGGCTTAATGCCGTCTTTAGTAATGATGTGACCTAGGTATGCGGTTTCTAATTTTAAAAATTCGGATTTATCCATCTGGATTTTAAAATTGGACTCTCTAAGTCTGGAGAAAACCTTTTCGAGATTTATTATGTGTTCCTGGAGCGATGTGCTAAATACTACTATGTCATCTAAGTAAACTAGGCAAATTTGATTCTGGAGACCTCTAAGGACATTGTCCATGACTCTTTGGAAAGTTGAAGGTGAATTTTTTAAACCCATGGGCATGCGTAAAAATTCGAAGTGTCCATGTTCTACATTGAATGCTGTCTTAGGTATATCGTCTGGATTCATCTCGACCTGGTGGAAGCCACTAGCTAAATCTAGGGTTGTAAAGTATTGGCATTTACCTAACTTGTCTAGTACGTCGGTAATATTAGGTATGGGGTATTTGTCATCAATCGTTTTATCGTTCAACTTTCTAAAATCAACTACGAGTCTCCATTTTTGTTTTCCGGAAGCATCTATTTTCTTTGGAACTACCCAAATTGGGGAGCTCCAGGCAGAATCTGAGGGCCTAATGATTCCCTGATCTAACATTTTTTTTATTTGATCCTGTACCTCTTGCCTATGTACGAAGGGATACCTGTAACTTTTTGTGTAAACAGGTAATTCATCTTTAGTTTTAATACAATGTTTGATTTTGTTAGTAAAAGTTAAGTTTTCCCCTTCAATATAAAATACATCTGAATATTGTTTGACTAAATTTTCTAAGTTAATTTTTTCTTCCGGATTCAAATGATCGGTTCTTAATTTTGATAAAACTTCGTTAATGCGTGCTTGTGACTGATCGGTATTAATATATTCTATGTTAAATATTTCCGCTTTAGCTGGTTCATATAGTGATAGTATTAAGTCTCTATTTGTGTTATTTTCTATTTCTATAATTCCGCGATTATTAACTTTCGTTACGCATTCGTGAACCATACAGTTACCTAACAATTGTTCTTTAACGTAAACGTATTAGATGAATGGGCCGAAATTACGTCTTCATATAAATTAACGTTGCGCGAATCGTACATTTTAATAAGATTTTCAGAAGAGCGAGTAAAAAGGATTCTGTTTTTTAGATCAATCTTTGCTTCCCATTTGTCTAGCAAATCTAAGCCTATTAGACCGTCGAAATAATTATGGAACTTATATAAAAATAATTTTATGGCTTCCGGATCGTTGAACTCTGTAAAACAAGGTAAGGTTATAGAATAATTATTTCTAGATGTTGCATGCACATTGGTTACTTCAAAAGGGTCGTGGTTCAATGGTAAATGTGAATAGTACTTATGCACAGCCTCTGGACTTATGAAAGATTGATTAGCACCGGTATCGATGAGAAGCTTTATTGGGGGATTTGAAATCTCGATATAAGGTAGGTGCCGTTGGGTTTGCAGATTGACTTCTATTTTGGTTTTCTTAAAAGGTAATCGGGTTGAAAATCCTCCTGTTTACTACAAGATGGTTGGGGTTCTATTTCTGTTGTAGATTCGATAGTATTGTCATCGGCGTAGTATTGCAAGGAATTTTGTGCGCGAGGGTAATCAGTCGAGTCACCCTCAGGGTAGTAGTAGTTATAGTCGTTATAGTCTTCCTGGTAATGGTCGGGGTAGTAGCTGTCATAATAACTGTCGTTATAATCACCGCATTCATTAAAGTTCATCTCTCTAGTTTTAAAATAGTTGGAAGGCGGCGGGTTACCAAATTTAGTCCAGTCATGTCCTGATGGTGGTAAGACACGAGGGGTAAAGTGCGAAACTCCACTCATTGGCTTGGGAGAATTCTGTTGGAATTGATTTCTAGGGGGTAGTCTAAACATATTACTTTGGGGGTTGTAATTTGGAGGAGGAGCGCGAAACATTTGTTGTGTGCGAGAAGGCATCCTGTTCTGAGGGTTGTTCATTTGAAAATTAGGCAGTCTGTTTTGGGGATGATTCATTTGAAAATTAGGTTTCCACTGGAATGAAGTACCCTGATTCGGGGGTAGGGGACGTAGCGAGTGATTTGGCATTTGAAAAGAATATGGCTTCGGTTGATATAACGTGGGTGCTACTTTTACAGGTTGAGCCGATTGCGAATAAAGAGGTGCAGTTTTACGTTCAGACACAGATTCATTACGCTGTTGCAAATATAAGACATTTAGTTCTTCTTGGACAAATTCCAGAGCTTTTTCTATTGATTCGGGTCGCATACAGCGAATACGGGACCCTAAAGGTTCTTTAAGACCTCTAACAAATGATTGCATTGTTAATTTTTTATAAAGAGTTCTTTTGGCTTCCACTGTAGTGGGTAATGTTTCATGAAGTGTGACATACGTCATTATAGTACTGAAAAGGTTCTGGCATTTGTCATAAAATTCTTGTGGTGTGCTACTTCCTTGTGTAACTAAAGCAAGGTCGTTGTATAACGCTGTTTCATCTCGTTGGTCTGAAATGTTATTAATCAGTGCTGTGCGAATACCATTCCAATCTTCCGCAATTCCGTTCGAATTTATTGTTCTCGCAGCGGAACCAGTTATCTTGTTAAGTATACCATTGATTAAACATAGGTTACTTAGTTCGTATCCTTGCTCTGCGCTAATATACTGGGTAACAATTTGATCACATATTCTAATGAATCGAGTAAGAATGTTAGGGTTTCCATCAAACTCGGGTACTGGGCGTAAGGCCTTGTAGATAACATCTGGATCGTAACCTGCCATTTCTATCTCTGGATACTCAGGAATAGATTTAACTTGTCTACACTTATCTAATATTTTATGTCTACACTTACGAGAGGAAAGATCCTCTTTAGGTTTCCTTGGGTGGAAAATTTTGAATGATTATATATAATATATATAAGTAAGTACTATAAAACTACAAGGAAGCAACACGAGTAAAAATTCTCATGTACTTACAGTATCATTACGGCTTTTCTCTGCGTATCAATGTCTGGATACTTCCTCCTTGGGCTGCGTCCTCGTGGTTCGGATTTTCGATAAGGGCTTGATAGCGCGAGCAGCCACGCGGGGTGAATGGACAACGATTTTTGGAGACCGGAATCGAACGCGCACTGCTTCGAAAATCCTACCGACTGCGCCAATTACGAAGGCTGCGGCCGGAGGATCGAAAAAAAACCGATTTAATTATAATTATTTATTAAAATAATGTTACAAAGTATTTTATTAAATCTAAAACTTATGTTAGGTTCGGACGAAGTAGGTACCGAGAATGAATGTTCTAAAACTGCGATGGTGACATCGAAGCGCGAAGCACGAGGCGTCGACTCAGCAGTCACATGTCGTAGACCGATGTTCCATACTGCTGAATTTGCAATTACACAATTATAATATTTTATTGTGTAAAATATTAGAATAAGCGACGTAAGCTCGTTCGTGGTAGTATAGGCATGTAACAAGCCACACTACACGCCCGAGTGGTTTACATGAACTCATGGTATTTTTATCCCAAAGCTACCACTAATGAGGAAGTATTTCAAAAAAAAATTGTTCCCGATATCAAACTAGATGTCGCTACGGTACGTTCTTGATTTCTCCATGACAACCTATCCGGTTTTCTTTCATGTTTAAAAGTAAATTGGTTTTCAAAACTCAATAAAAAACTCATATTCTATTTGTACTTTTTCGTATTTGTATTGATATCTAAGTATCCAACTTTTCAAATTTCAGTTTTTTTATGTCAGTTAAAAGGAACGGAAATGACTGACTTTTGTCCATTCGTTTCCTGCAAAAATCAACTTTTGCTAGAGTCGCCATCTAGTGGAGGTGTTTTTTTTTGTGATTTCGTTTTTTGTTAATACTACCTCATTGGGATAAAAAGTAGTTTATTACCTATATACCAAATATTCATCAAATAGTTTTTCGGTGAAGTAACAATAATCCATCTAACAATATAAGTTCGGTCTTTTGCATTCTATGAAAATAAATACTGTTTTAGGAGGCGACGGACGAAATAATGTCAGTTTTGTCTAGTGTTTGTGCGACCACTAGTCTGGCGCATCTCACTATGATATTCCCATCTAATGCTGCTTGGCGACGAATCACCTGCACAGATCCTGCCTTCTCTGTCTACGTTCACGACTTTCTAGGTCAGTCTATACAGCGCCAGGGGAATGAGGGGGGCATATTGATTATGGAGAATAAGCTAAGTATGCATTCTAGGTAAAGTTGAGAGCGCATGAAGCTTTTGACTTGTATTATGAGCCATAATAACAACAGTAAAAAGTTCAACAAGTAAAGTTATTAGGTCTTGACTGTAGAAAAATGAAAGTGTTAATTTGGCAATCACAAAAGAAACGCTTTAATAACACTTTTCATGATTTCTAACACTTCATTGTAAAAGTAACCGCCAATACAACTTTACACTAAATTCATCTTACAATATGAGTAATAACACGCACGTTCTTGTTTTTGATGTTTAACAACAAAATAATGACACATTATGGTTTATATATACATAATTTTTTGAAAAAAGTCAAAAAATTATGGGTGTTTTATCATCTAATATATATTTCGTGACGACGAAGATGAATAATCGGAATCTGTACCTAACTTTGCAAACGAAACTGAGAAATCGATACCTAATCGGCTTTCCTATATTGTTGAATTTGTATTTTACACCTTATGATTCACTATATATTTTAATCGTACGTTCAGCCATATTGGTAGATCTACTCTGAGGTAAACTAAAATTCATCATTCCCGACATTAGTTGAAACTTACTATATTTAGATGTCGAAGGATAAACATTAAAATTTAAAAAGTGAAGTTATTAGCAGAGGTCGGAATTAGGTAGAGTTATTTATGTACTTGCATCGAAATGTTGATATTAATGTGGACCTTCGTGGCAACATCGCGCTTATTGGTATTTTGCAACTTTGGACATCCGATGTCAATGATTAAGTTTGGCAACGTCGTGCGTGTAGTAGTAAATAACTTTTTATTGTATTGTTTATTGTGTAAAAGTAAATAACTTTTTATTTAAAAAATCACGGGATTTTTTCTGCTCTTTAAAATTAATCTCGGGATTTGAGGCATATCCACTTTATTCTTTCGCTGTATGAAATCAGTGTAAGTACATGAATAACTCTACCTAATTCCGACCACTGGTTATTAGGTCTTGACTATAGAAAAATTAAAGTGTAAATTTGGCAAATCACAAAAGAAACGCTTTAATAACTGCTAGCCTGAAAATTTTGTACTTTTGAAAGGACCGTCGACAAGGACTCGTGTTCCGTGTGTGTAAAAATACTTTTTTAAGGTACTGAATTTTTAAGTTCCGAATAATAGGGATGATGACGGTAATAAAAAGAAATTCTATTTAGTCAGTCAGTCAGATAATAGAAAAGTATTAGATATGTTTTTTTTTACTTCAATTTAACAAGAAATGGCTTAGAAGGCAGACATTAAAGTTGAGGAGTAGGGGCTCGCTACGTCATAGTTTCGTAGAAAATGTATAAAAGCATGACATCATATGACATTTTAACTCAACGCATTGCTGTAATTTAATTATTAGGTAAAAACGTGTTTATATTTCAACAATCTACCTGACGAATAAACAAAAAAATTTAGTTTTCATCCCTATGCGAGCAAACTTAATCTCTTTACCAAGCCTTGCTGCCCCCCCAAATACGAGTATCCTAGGCAGTCGCCTATATGGAATGGCCAACCCAGTCTATAATCTATATCATAAACAATCAATTATCCTAGTATGTGCTATTATCACTTATCATAAGAATTATCACTTTTTTCCTACTAGGTAATATTATCGGGTCGAATAAGAAACAATGAGGGCTGACGTGTTTAAATTTGCCACTAGAGGCGCTAGTGTAGAGCGAAAATATCAAATATCATACTTTGTCTCTGACCTACGCGTGTTTCATTTACGAATTAAAGTTTTGTGCTTATTTTAGGGTACCTGAGAATAATTAAAGCAATTATGAATTACAGGTCAATGATGAACAGGTTATACAAATCTATCAAAATTCTTTACTTGATTTTAAACCTTAATGCTAGGACAGATTTGAAAAACAATTGAGAAAATTTCACGTTAATGATACATATTTCACAACCTGACGTACTGATTTGTGCTCTTTAATATTTCAGATAAAATGTTACTACCGGTTGTGAACGCTACACAGGACATAACTACCCTAAATATGGTGTTACGGATAATGTGCGAATCTTGGCTACATCACATTTATGTCGCCAAAGTTAGATTTAGGTGAGTGAGTTACTTAACTGTTTTCTACATATTTACTATTTCATAGTACTCGCCGGCCAATGCTCGTTTGGTAAAGCGGGGAATTACCGCTACTGTAGAGCATGTTTGGTAAATTTGTACATTTTCTACAAACTGGGGCGACGAAATTTAAGTAAAAAAAGACTGCATATCTAATATTCTTCTATTATCTGACTAACGGACTAAATAGAATGGAGTGTTAAACAGAACTGTCAACGGAGTACGTCACCAATATGGCGGCCAGACGCATCAACGATATGTCGAATCAGGTGTTACGGTGTTTATACATCTACCTAAATATATTATTTTGATTTACATTCATAATCATTATTGGTAATGCACTTTTTGATGTTACACAGTAAAGAAGCAGCGGCACAATTACTCACAGATTTTAATGAAGTAAGAAATTGGTTAAATGAATGCAAATCCTTGTCGAGCGCCGCAAGGAAGCAGATGTTACAAAATGAAGTATTGAGGTATAGTATCTATATATGATTATATTTTTACAAACGAATTAAAACTAATCTATAAATTAATTAATAAGTTTTAAAATCAATTTAAGAGTAATTTTTATTTGGCTGTTACTCATGTATAATAAACAACGGAAACAGTGAAATCAAATCTTATATATTGCGTTGCAAACATGCAATAGAATTATTAAAGTCTCGATGTTTACCTTTACAATAACGGAACATGCGCCAAAATTATTCAGCGAGCACACAACCTGTACAAATGCGCTAATATGGTGTTTATGTGATCGAATTTAAGTTGTAAATTGAATACAATTCACAAATGTTCCCTTGTTTCTTACTTCTGTATTTATCATAAAGTCGCTTTCTCTGTCTTAAATCTATAAAACTACGCAACGGATTATGATGCGTTTTTTTCATTGATAGGGTGATTCGAAAGGAAGTTTTTTATGTATAATACAAGACTACGCGGGCGAAGCCGCTGGCGGAAAGCTAGTTCATTATATTTCTCTACTTGTACAATATAACAATAAATTTAAACTTTTAGACGATGTGAAGGCGTTGGTCGTCTGTTACTACACGCTCCCGGAGATTTAATATCAATGCAAGACTCTACAATGCAGTCCGCTCATCAAATCAGAAGGGATGGTACGCAATTTTATTATATTTATTAAAGTATTAGGTGTTGCGGAACCATAATTTTCATTTAATAAAATTAATTTGATTAAATTTCATTATGTCACATAAAATTATAGAATCCAAAGTATCTTATATAAAACTAATTTTTATATATTTTTTATTTTTACAGCAACTTACATCTTATCAGAAATATTATGTAAAAAATTGGTATCTCGATTCATTATTTTATTCTTTTTAATATTAATATATTTAACAAATATATAAACATATTTTTTATAATAGCATCGGAGAGTGAGTGCGGTGAACAATTAATGCCGGCGGAAATGTACGTGCCCAATCAGAAGCAATGGCTGCAGTTGCGCGCGCGCACTTTACACGGACCGTTAGCTTTCTCATTATGCTGTCTGGTGTTATGTTGATATTGTTGTTTATTCAATTAAATATGTCTATTTTTATTCTGTGATTTTTATTTTCGATTAAATAGGGTATTCAACTCTGTCTGAAATAGTACTTCTGTTTTTATTAAAAAAGACATAAGCTGATATTGCGGATTTGTTTTTAAATAAAATTGTATAGTCTAAATAGTGACGTTCAATCATTTGGGATCCACATACACTATACCTGTCTCTTTGAAGCATATGACATTTTCTTTTCTTTAAAACTAGAATGTTTTTTTTAATGTACTCCATCTCGAATAAATAATATTTTCAAATGAAAAAAGACTTGATTTGTTCTCGCACACAGATATAATATACGAGTAATAACATTTTTAAAACTAAATCATCAAGTATAATTTAGTATCTATGTAAGGGACTGATCAGTGCCGAATTAAGCAAGACCGGGGCTTGTAGTAAATTTCTTGTACCCCTCGGATTTACTTGAGATTATTTAAGTGTATAATCGAAATAACAAAAAATATAAATGTACTGAAATCCTTTACTGCACACGTGCTTAAAAGTATTTTTTTATTTTTTTTTGGCCGAGCACCAAAGAAATTTAAAAAAAAAATATGAGAATATGTCAAACTTTAGAGGCAAAAGTATTTCAAGGAGCCTAGAACGAATATTTTCAAATAAAAATGTATGACACGAAAACATGTTCAAATATCACGTTTAATTTTAACAAATAATTTTTACCTTTAATACATACTTAGTTTTATTAACCTATATATTTGTTTTATTTCCTCGCAAAAAGCATTCAAAAATGTTGAAAGAAACTTGAGCGTAAAAGGTTTTTCGAGTTCGTGCCAATGAAAACCCTCGCTACGCTCGTGTTTTCAATTTGGTTCTTATTCGTAAAACCTAACTTGACGCACTCGTATCTTAAAAACTATTAGGTTCTTTAAGGTGCACTTAAATATATTAGAGGACTATTAAGGATCAGATCTAACATAACGATAAAAATAATAAAATAAGAAGGTGATTTCTAAATGAATTTATTACAACTAAAACTATCACATTTAGCACTTATGTTCATAAACTTTTATTATACATAGACACTTTATCCTTATGACCGAATTGTTCTGCATTTATGTATGCGTCATTTATGATTTGATAAATTCCACTTAACATAAATAAAATAAAATACTTATTACATTTCATTGGCTTTAACTAAATAATAATATATTTGAGCAAACTCAACAAATTGTCAAGAAAATCATGATTTATAAAGCATGTGAGTAGGTTTTATTTATTTAAGTGGGGTGACTTAATTCACAATAAAACTTTAAAAACGAGCGCCGGAAGAAAAGTATTCACATTCCAGTATTTTAATCATCAAATAAGTAAGCATGGAACCGGGACAAAAATTTGATAATGCACCAGTAAAATTAGTTTAGGGACTTTGAAATCATGTCCTTCTCATCGTAGCCTAATGAAGAGAATATCGTGTATGAATTTACACATTTATGATAATAAAATGAAGGTTTTTTTTTTATTCATTTTATGTTGGCTTTGATTGCAAAGATGCGTAATTGGCTACTTGGCTGTTTTGTGAAAAGTATTTTAAACTTTCATAAAATCATATTAAACCACTATCAGATTTATTTTAGGGAAAAACATATTATTATTCATGGAATCTGTCCTTATTTATGGAATCTGTCCCGGTAAAACAAACAGTTACATTTCAATAAACATGAGCACTGGTTGCACTCGGAACAAAGATTTCAGTGTGACGTCATATTTTACTGAATATGACGTCACATCATGCTTGGTCATAACGGACAGTTATTGTAATCCATAGATCATAAATCTCGAGTAAATTTTTCAAAGGTAAAATATACTTAGAATTTGTCTTAAAACAGAAAATGCTACATAATTATTGTTTACATATAAGTTACCATTTCCAACATTTTTCATAATAACTGTCAAGTAACCAATAGTCGAATATACCCCGAAACTTACATATACTGGATATATCTTCAATATCCAACAAGTACTCCATCATTCGATATTACTCATTGAATAGATCTCATTCCACATTTGAATCAAAAACTTCACTCCTCATCCGAGTCAAACCGCTTACACTTCTCCTTCAGCTTCTCATACTCGTTGCGTCTAATCAAATCTTCTTTTAGCCTCTCCATATCGCTGAGCAAACTACTCACTTGTACATCACCAAGTTTATCGGCGGACACAGATTCAGTATCACTGTCCAGTCCTGAATCATCATCTGATTTATCATCTCCCCCTACACTTCTGACTTCTTCATCGGATACAGCAGGCGCACTACTCTCGTCGGAAACGTCCGAATTGTTCTTATCCAGTCTATAAGCTTTAGGCACCCTGTCGTCGAGAATGCTCTTTCTCTCTGGACCATCTTTTTCGGATCGGGCATTCCCTTCGCCCCGTTTCGACTTCTTTTTCCTCATACTCTTCGCTATCACCCGCTTCTGATGATCCAACTGCGGGAACAGTTCTGTGAAAAAAAGAAGCGACTCATTTATCATGATAGTGTTTTTGTCTATAGAACATATCAGAAAAAAGTGTGATAATTTAAGGCAAATTGTATTTATTAACCAACTTCATTAAATATTTTATCATAATTTTCTATATTATTGAATACCGTTTTTATATAGGTATATATGTATGTATGTATGTGATTTCTTTATTCAACCATATAACTTTTGAAAGAAGATATAGATAAGATGTTTAGGGTATCATTAGAAACCTCACATCATCTCGAAAACAGGTCGTCGTCATTTAAGAAATATTTAAAAAAATATATTCGTCAATTATAACAATATGGATATTAAATTCAGGTATCCATGAAAACATTCCAAAAACATTTACTTTGTATACCTTTTCTGGTTACAAAAATAAATATATTAAACAATTGAAAAGTAAAAGAAATAAGTTGTATTACAATTAGGCTAAACAAAATTGTCATTGCAATCGGGGGACCGTTCTGTGAAAGTCGTAATCTAAGAGGTCCCCCGATCGCAGTGAAAATAGAGATGGACACTTGAAATCCCGTGGTCAAGGACTCATGTTCAAGGAACAAAAGTATTTTTTTTAAGGTACTGCATTTTCAAGGTCGAATAAATGGGATGATGAGGACAATAAAAAGAAATTGTATTTAGTCAGTCAGTTAGGTAACAGAAAAGTATTAGATACGTATTTTTTTTTTTTGCTTCAATTTAACAAGAAATGACTTAGATAATAGGCTATAAAGTTGAGGAGCTCGTTACGTCACGACTAGGTAGAAAATGTACAAAAGTGTGACGTCATTTGACATTTCAACTCAATGTATCACCGTAATTTATTGATTACGCAACAATTCAAAAAAAATACGTGTTTAATGTTCTTCAATAATCTACCCGACTGACAAACAAACAAAGTTTAGTCATCATCATATTTTGTTTAGCCAAGTTGAAAAAGCATTTCACCAATGACAATGAGCCACCTGACGACTTTATGCAACGCTTAAAATTAGGACATGCATTGTGCGGCGCTTAACACCTAGGCATTTGCGTAATATGACATTTACATTTACTCTCTGTCCATAACGGATGGGTCAAGAGATAAAATCGATTAATTAAGTTGGAATCAAGGAATTTATATATTAGAATTAAAATTTAAACAATGAGATTTTTTGAATTTTCGGCTTTCTATATATGGACAATGACGACTTGGATGTTCCGTATAATATAATTTGTCTTGTTTTATAACCTCTAAATAAATATTTTAGTTTTTGTCTCTTTACGTGCAAAAGCCACTAAGGTGACATTTACGCAATTGTGAAAACGCAAATAGACCATACAAAAAAAAACTTGAAGCTTGCAAAATCATAGACAAACGTTGCCTATCCAAGCAAGTGCTAAGTAAAGCATTACCTTACGTTACAGGTTTGGTGAAATGATATATCTGATTAAACTATTCTTATATTAAGGGATTTTTGTTAAGCTATGCCTTGTTCTAGGTTAGTCAAATGGGTATTTATTTATTTATTTGAAACCAACAGCGTTACAAAGGTTTATACACAGACATAATTACATAAGTAAGGCCAATAATAGGTTTCATGGTTACAGGTTACAACAATTCACAATCGGTGTGTTTGTTGCATAAATTTATAAGTGTATATTATTTAAAACTAGATTAGACTAAAAGTCGCAGTTATTGCATTCTTAAATGTTCTCTTATTCATCAAAAAAATGTCACGAGTACTTAAGTATTGATTGTACATAGGAAGCCGTGTCAGTGCACTGTTCATAGCATAGTTAGATGACCGCAGTGGAACATGAAATATAGGCGTATGCCTTGTGCGACGTACAGGTATCCGATATGCAATACCTGCTACTAGTTCAGAACAGTCCAAATGACTATTCACGATCTCTAGTTTCTTTCATTTCAAATCAAAATTATTTATTCAGTCTAGGCTGTTGCTTGTAACAACAAGCACTTGTGAAAGTCGAGAGCTACGCCATCAGTTCGTAAATCTACGGCGGGAGACTTTGTACCGAGAAGAACCGGCAAGAAACTCGGCAAGGGCTGCTTTTTTCTCCCTGTTCTATTTCATAAAGAGCGTCAAGATTAAAAAATGACTTCATTAAAATATCAAGTCACTTTCCATAACTACTAATTTGAAGTCACTTTCCATTACACCATTGCTGTTTCTAAATGCAATAAAGAATAAATAAATAAAACGAATAACTCATATATATACCGTGTGCAGTAGTGAGAGCTTGTTCTGCCGCATTCATCTCCGCCTCCTGTATGGAGTGACCGCGAGCGGTCGCCAACCGAGTGCCGCGGAAGTAAACGCCCACAGTGTACACGCGGGTATTCGTTGGACCCAAACATTCGATCACTCTAACAACAAAACCGTTAGTTATACCATCACCCATCAACATATCACACTTTGAACACTGCGTGTAGTAAAAAAAGGTTCACCATAAGCTTATTAATGGCACTAGGCTTTGGGGCCAACCATTAATCACATGATGTTTTTTTTAGAATATTTAACCCCACCCCCTTGGGGATTAAGATTACCCTCTCTCCACCTAAATCGCATGTTTATTTTAATACCTACAAAAAATCTGTAAATCTCTGACGCCGCCTTTCGTATTAGTAATTGCGCTTTTAATGAATAAATAAATACACGTTACATGATACTCCCACACGTGTGATATTTCATTAGTTTTGACGAACTCCCTCCCCCCTTTCGAGCCTCACGTGTTTAATGGCCCTTTTCCCTATGGGTGAAATCGAATAGTATGGATGAGCCATGACTAACGTGACTAAATTTTATTTAGAGCAAAACGGGACAAGGGTTTTAATAAAAAGGGAGGGGTTTAAAAATCGCGAATTCTTTGATTTAATTTATTGATGACTCTTTTCTGGTATAGTGCGATAAGCCCAGACACTTTTACATAGATATCTTTGTCGCATTCGCCCAAAGTGTGCGTCTAACATAATTTTTCAGGAGTTTCCTTCAGAGACACCTGGACATCCAAAAAATGAGACGTCCGGCCAAGTGCTAGTCGGATTCGCGCACGAAGGGTTTCGTAACGGAAACGGCCAAAAAATCACTTGTGTTGTATGGTTATCCCCTTAAATATTTATTTTATTGTTTTTTTAATGTTTAATGTTATAGCGGCAACAGAAATACATCTGTGAAAATTTCAACTGTCTAACTATCACAGTTCATGAGGTACAACCTCATGAAACAATGACAGACGGATAGACAACATAACCGTTTATTTTATCGATCACTATAGGACATAGTTTTTAAATAAATAAATTTGACGAATTCTTATGGCTTAATTTATAGATAGCCCTTTTCTGGTATAGTGCGATAAGCCCAGATACTATTGCATAGATAGCTTTGTCGCTTTCCCCTCTTTCTTACTTCGCATGCGACCAAAATGTGCACGTCTAACAGATTTACCCGGCGTTCCTCTTTATCAGTGTACCCAAATTTCATTTAAATTGGTTCAGTAGTTTAAACGTGAAAACTTAACAGACACACAGATTTACTTTCGCATTTATAAGTATAGATTAAAACAACATACTTGTATAGGGGTATATCTGGTTCGCCACCCTCCATAGAGCGTAGAGTGAGGCAACACTGCTGCAACTTGGACTTGGGATCGTTCCAATCCTGGTTCATTATGAACTCCTGTAGACGCGGGAACAGGCAGGCGTTGCAAAACGCCTGGCAGTACTCCAGGTTCTGTGCCAAATTTCTCAATTAATAAAAAAAGAGCAAAGACGTTAATTGTATGTGAGCGCCCTTAAATATTTCTTTTAATGTGATTTTTGGTATTTGTTGTTGTCTAACTTTAGATACAGTTTGGTGACAGTCGACAGAGAAGTCTTGATAATAGAGTTACCATTTTACCCTTTGGGTATGGAACCCTAAAATTATCAGACAACATCACATACATTGCTCTGATCCAAGATGACTAGCTATAGCCCACGTTTTATAGAGTATCCGAGACAAATAATGTACCACAGCACCCATACCAGAGACAATATAGAAAAGTTTCATATTTTAAGTTTCAGTTGCCTGAAAAATATTGCTCTTTAGCGATAAGGCCACCGATTGTACTGTTGATATGTTTAGTTATGTTAATTTTTCTTTTCATGTACAATTAAGTGTTCATTCATTCATATTTAATGTAATGTTCTCTTAAACGTAAAAGAAATATAATTTGGAAATGTTACAGTAATATCTGTATTTGTATGCCGCGGCAACTTATAATTAAGGCAAAATTTAGCATAGTATTTTTTACTATATCCACGTTTCAATCAACTAGACAAACAGCCGTTTAATAGGTAACACTATCCTATCTAATGCAATTCCTTACGTTTTAGGCCTAAGGACCTCTTTACACCCCTTCACTATAATGCTTACCTTGTCGATATACAATGCGCCTAAGAATGCTTCTAACAGATCAGCCTTGTGTTTCTTAGTCGTGGGTTTAGCTTTAGGGTTGTTGTATATCGCATACGCGGACATATTGAGATCGTCGCACACCATCGACTGTGTGCGATTGTTGACTAGAGACGAACGCAGTAACTGCAAATAAAACGTAATTTTCGGATCGTGTGTATAGACATTTATCCTCAAACAAAATATTAGATAACATCACATAAATTGTCAGAGTATCTAAAGCATTATGGAAATCTCAAATAACGAAGGTACCACAACACTCAGACCAGAGACAATATAGAAAGGTTCAATTTCTATATTGCGGGACCTCAGATATGGCGACACCTTGAAACTGGCGGGCAAGTCACTCAGCCACATGGGTCGTCTAAATAAACAAAACAATATTTTTTTATTTGAATAATGGATGTTGTCGAAACAAATCTAATAATATTTTTAAATAATAAACCTTATAATTAATAATAAATAAACATACAAGTTAATTTACGATAAATATTACTATGACCAGAAAGGCTAATCGATGGCCTAATTATTCGTCTGGAAGAAAAAATATTGTCATTGTTGCATTTTACTCTATCTGTATCGGCAAAGGCATTTACGATACAAATTTTTAAATATGAAACATTCTTTAGAACTTAAAGGCGTCATTAAACCATAATGGCTGTTTGTGCAACTGTCGGTCGGTCGATCATCGGTCGAGTTTTGGCGTTATCAATTTTACAGTTATATATTTATTATATTTGATCAATTTTACTTTCACAATGTTATACTGAATAATATTCTTAAGAGCCATATTACATCTCAACTGTGATTTCTGCGTGATTTTTCTCGGAAACAAAAACAAATTAACAATTTTGACTTGTTGAATAGTGAAGAATAACTCTTGGTATAGAAATTAGTGGCGTTACTTTTTGGAAATTTTGCTCATCTTTTTAATTTAACCCTAAAAATACCAGAGAAAGATTTTCATAAAATGCGCAAAGACATTTTTTTGAAGTCCTGGATTAAGCTACTGTTCTTAACAAACGAAATAAAAGAAATATAATGATATCTCTTATATAGTCGTAAAGTAAACAGTAGCTCGAAATTTTGAAATAGCACTGATTAAATATAGAAAAACAATCATATTACAAACCAAAAAACATCAAAAATTGCTTGAAGTTAACTTTGAATTTGTCTTAGCCACAACAATATTATTTAACAAAAATTATGCCAGATTAATGACTATTTCATAAGGAACAAAGTTATTATAAATTTAAAGCATAAATTTATTATATTATTTTAATAAATACGATAAATGTAAACGCAAAATCACTACAAAATAAAATGCAGCGGCCGTCTGAGCTCAGTACCGCGCGAGCGCTCCTCAGCGTTTCGAGCGAGCGTAAAAAGAGCAGTATAGTGGGACTTCCGACTTTGGTCACGAAGTTCGATTTATATGGAATTTATATAGCTTGTTGAATTATTTCTAATACACATTTGTTATTTTCAGCAAAGGTCGAAAGACCCCTAGGTATATTTGTATAAGAAAGTTAAAATATAAATTTATATTAAGAAATGCAAATAAAGCAAGGTACTTCTTCTCTCAATAGACTTATACTAGTACATAAAAATTGGAGTGCATATTTGTAATATTAAAATAACCGCTTTTCACTAAATACATTTGTGTGTATACATGGTACATATACAAAAATAATATATTTTATCTGTCTGTCTGTTAGTTCTGGCTAATCTCTGAAACGGCTTGGCCGATTTTGAGGAGACTTTCACAAGAAGTTGACTAACGTAATGAGGATTAATGGCTCGATGCAATTCGATCGATATCAAGTTTATCGGAGATCCGCATATCAAACAACTTTTTCTAAATTCAATATATTTTTAATCCCCGACGTAAAAACGACGCGGTGTTATAAGTTTGACATGTCTGTGTGTGTGTGTATGTGGTGTGTTTGTGTCTTTTTGTGGCATCATAGTTCCCGAACGCATGAACCGATTTTGATTTTGTTTGAAAGGTGTATTAGTCGGGAGTGTTCTTCACTTTGATGAAAATCGATCCAAGATGGCTGCCGCCACAAAATGTCGGATTACATATTTTATCACCATTCCATCAATATGGGCATCAAATAAGAGGGCTTGAGTAGTAGAATACTGAACACTATGACAAATTTCAAATCCAAGATGGCCGCCACCAAAAATGTTGGATTACCTACATATTTCTCACGACTCCCTCAATACGGACATTAAATAAAAGGGCTTGAGTGTTGAGTAGTATATACAAGACAAGCCAATAATGGGATGGGCGATCAATCTTTTTTATTTAGCTGAACTGAAGTGGTGGTGGTGGGGTGGAGCGGGGCATGGCGAGTATTTACTCTCTTTTTAACGCATACTTGTTTAGTAACGTTTAAAAAAATTTCGTCACCCATCCGATTACTGACCCTTGCAAACGTCGCTTATCCTCTACAATCGCAGATCAAACTTGTTAACTACTTCAGCATCAAGTCAATCCACCCAGCATTTCTGACTGGACCCACGTGTGGTGGTGCTAAAGCACAGATATTCTCAATAGATGTAATTATTCCAACCAGCATTTCTCGTAGCATTCAGCACACAAATTAGGATTAGTAGTGTCAAAACACATATTATTAATCGTTGATTTAAATGCATCCAGAATTCCGCACTGGGCTAACATAAAGGTACCAGTGCGGATTGGTGGTGCTAAAGTATATATATTTTCAATTAATGATTAATCTACGTCGTCCTAAATTGCTCCACTAAAAAAATTTACCACCCATCCGATTGCCGGCCTTTGCAATCGTCGCTTAACCTCCTCAATCGCAGATCTAACGAGCTATCCGGCACCATCGGGCTTTTCATTTGTTTATATACGGATATTGCCGTATTTTTTTGGAAAATCCAATATATTTTGATGATATGGTAAGTTTGAGCAAATGAATCGTTCCTCGATATTATTGAACAGAAAATCAAAAGCAGATCGAGCGTTCTACCGTCTTCATACATTTGAAGTGATAACGCAGACCATGAGATTTGTGACCGATATTGACAGATAGTACAATCTCATGAGCAAACACTTGAGTTTTTCCATACATTTTATAAGTGCATGCGATTCGTGTGATATCGTTCATTGATATCGAATAACATCGCATCTAGCCATGAGAAAAGAACCTTAGGTTACTTTCCATTCGCATAAAGTCGCGGGCAGAACTAGTTTAATATAATTCTAATTTACTACTTTTCCAAACAGGAAACAGTCCATGTTTCCTATAGATGACGAAAATATTTCGAAATCGTCGACGAAAAATATTGCACGAATATTTTTTAATTAATATTTATAATTTTTTTGATATATTGTCATCGCTATTTATATTTATAGCCTATGATTTGGCTAAACTTGTTTCTTTTAATTTTTGTCCGATCTGAGCAGTCGTGTTTTTAATTTTTAAATAATTATTTATATTTTATTCCTTTTAGTGAGCAGTTAATTTTGTATAGAGATTATATATTTTTAATGGACCTTTAATTTGATACCCATAAAGTTATGATTATAAAAAAACATACTTTTTTAAATGGCGTCACACGTCCCCATACCTATTTAATATTAATAAATAAAGCTAGTTTCACTGATACTCTATGTATTTTGTGGTAACTTAGGATGATGTTTCTAATGATACCCTATACATTCATATCCGTTATATCTTTCAAAAGTTATGGTGCAATAAAAAACTCACATACATACATTAATTATAAAAACAGTACTCCTTTCGAGAGCAGTCGTGTTAAAATATTCGGGAATCGATAATGAATCTCACCATAGAAATACTAAAATTAATACAAAAATTGGGAAAAGTATCAAAATAGCTTGAACGTGGTTTCAACACAGTATTGTGGACTCGTGACCTTGAACAAGTTGTCGAGAACTTGGAACGCTTCAAAATACCTAATCTCACAGAGTGAAAATTTGTCATATGGCTCTTAATGAAAAATCGACCTGCTATGGCAGTTGCGATGACGAAAATAAAAACTCTCAATAATTTACACAAATTATTCAGTCTGAATAGTACCGATTTTAAAATAACTAAATATAATCACTGTCTTACAAACAAATTTTGTTTATATACATTTTCTAGTTTTGCAGTATTAAAAATATAATATTGAAGCAAATTCAGAAAATTATAGGATAAGATATTACATATCAATATATGTATATTCTCTTTTGTTACTCTTTGTGAAATGTCTATGTTTATGTTAGTGGTGAACACGCACGTTGAGAATGACAATGTCACTAACCAAAAACGACGTATTTTTTTATTTTGACAACATTTTTCTTTGTTAAGTATAAACTTTAAAATGCAAAGATCCCTATGAACTTTGCATAGAAACTACTAGGTGGCGTAGTGACGATACGCTATTTAGAGGGGCTGATAACAATTTCTTGAATTTTAAACGCTCATTACTCAAAATCGCATTTTTTGCATTGTGTCACAATCGTCCTCAACGTGAGATATATAAATAAATATGAAATGTTGTATGTATTATAGTGGGTTACCCCACACTGCTAACAAATCTACACCCGGCTATAATTTGAGATTTAAATAAGAAACTATACTCACCGACAGATGTCCCTCGTGATGATCGGGGAAATGACGATAGAGTCTATCTGACACGACCAATTGTAAAACAGTATCACCTAGAAATTCCAGCCGCTGATTGGAGCCGAGCGTGAGATGGGTGTAGCCCACTGAACGATCGGTGAACGCGCGCGCTAACAGGCGAATGTGCTTAAACTGTACACCTGCACGTAAATAAAAAAAGACGTCCTGAACAAGTGGTAGGGGAAAAATAATTTTTCTGACGATTCCAAAGTGCTTGTAATAGCCTACTTGAATAAAGATATTTTCATTTCAATAACAAACGTACATTTATACTAATACTTGCTGACCCGACAGACGTCCTGTCTTAATTGACCGACGCAAAAAAGGGGAGCCTGCCTGTGGCAACATAGCTGCCGCACATCATCAGCCCTTTTACGTCCCCACTGCAGGGGCTCAGGCCTTCCTTATGGATGGTTAAGGAGGATGGGCCATGACCCTCCACGCTGGCCCAATGCGGATTGGAGGGTATTAACGACTGCAAATGCAACCGGGACCAACGGCTTAACGTTCCTTCCGAAGCACGGAGTAGCTCGAGATAATAATTTTTTTGGTCACCCATCCCGTGACCGACCCTTGCGAAAGTCGCTTAACGACAAATATCGCGGGCCGCGGCGCTTATCCGCTACGCCACTGAGCTAGCTACCTAGCTGCCGCACAAATGAAGCGATTTCAATTTAGTTTTTTTTTAATTAAAGGTGACTTATGTGGAAGTGTTTTTAGACATGTTTGATGGAAATCGGTTGAGCCGTTTAAAAGTTGTGGGAGCAGAAAGTGGGGAAGAATAAACGAATGTCTGCAAATATACTCGAGTGGGGTCTCAAATGAAAGCGCACTGCAAGAGAATATTGAATTTCGAAATCGAGAGTGCTCTTAGCTTCTTCTTTGTCTGTCAGAATTCGTTGTCGTCGCAACCAATAACGGGTTCTGTTTACTGGCGTGTGACGTCACACGTAAACAGAAAGCTGTCATGTAAAAACAGTGTTACAAGAAATAAGCAAAATTTTTATTTATACATTTGTTAATCATTCTCGCTCATTTTATAAACAAAACCAGAGTAAATACAAATGGAAAACATAATTTTGAACTTCAATTTCTCTTCTATAATAGTATTTGTTTACTATGTAAATAAACTGGTTATGTCGCCTTGACATTATTTACGGCGTATGAAGTCACAAATACCACGTGATCAGCGCCTTTATAAGCGCGTTTTTTGCGCAATTTTGATTACTTAAACTTTAACAATTATTTCCCAACAAATATATTGACAGTGTGTTTATATTGTATCAAATAACGATTTAAAATAGTTTATTAATGTTACTATTAAACATGATGTCTAAAGTTAATGATATGCATTATAACAAATGACATACCGATAGAATCTTCGAATTCAGTGAGCCGCTGTAGGAACTCGAAGTCTTTGATATATTTCCGGTCACCGAGAGGCTCTTGCTCTTGTAACGGATGAGCTCGTTCCTTTGTCCATACTTCCAGTAGTTCTGGTTCACTGTACCACAGCGCGAGGGAAAACACACGATCTGCAACCTTAAGTAAATAAATAACAAAAAATATCAATGATATTATTTTTTTGGCGTTTTTTAACCATGCCGCGACCCACGAAAAAGTTAAAAAAACTCCTTTTATATCCGATTTTTTTATCCCCGTGTGTAGTTTAATGTATAAACGATGGGTTAATATATGTTCATCTTCTCGTTACTAGATGGCGTTACGTGTAATTTCAATCGCACTAGCACTGGCGAGAAAGATGGTCACTGACGAAGAGAGGGACAGCCGTTCTAGAACTTTTTGGTAAAGCCGAATACACGAATATACCGGTGGGGCCGATGCCAGCCTAGAATGTTCTAGGTTCTAACCCAGAAGTGTGATTAGACACCGTGGGAGACCACGATAATTAGGCTCCAATAGACGGGTTAGCACGACATTGCGCAATAGCGCATCTCCTGTCTTTGACAGAGAAAAGTCTAGTAGGTTTGCGCACTTTTTTCTAGCTAGAAAATTTCATAGTCTTGATAGAAAATAATATGAGGAAAGCTCATTTATAGGACGTAAAAATTTTGAACAAAACAAATTGAAAGTTAGCGACATGATGAGCTAAGGAAGAGTTTGTTAGGAAAAATATGAAACAATAAAATGACTTACGTCTAAATCCAATATGGAGGACTAGTTGTCATTAAGAACTCTCATTATGTAAGTATCAAATGAAGGGTTTGTTGTAAAGATAATAAAATTATTTTTAATCTAAAACTGTATTACTGAATTTGCCCTACTAATAATCTTCATATCGGTCACCCATCTGGCAATCATCCTATGTATAACGTACCTCTAATCCGGCATCTAAGAAGAGTGCTCCCATGAGTGCTTCGAAACAATTTGCCATCGCGTGTCTCATTACAACCTCACGGCAAAGATCAGAGCCGTGCGCGTATAACATGTACTGTTCCAACTCGATATTCTGCAAACAATATAGCAAACTTCATTTAGAATTTCTACAGATATTTGCGATGCGATGTCGCATTGTAGAAATCTGAGGTGTTATTGAAGTCTTCGATTTTCATTTAGTAGATTATTAATGATATAAAGTAATTGAATTGCATCGTTTAAATAATTCAGTTAAAATTATAACATATCAGTCACCAGTAGCGTAACTACAGGGTGGCAAATCGGCAAAATGCCACGGGCCCCCAGATGGAAGGGGCCCCCGGTCAGAGGGGACTCCTTACTCCTGACATTTATTATTACGCAATTAGTGAAAAAAAAATAATATCCGATGAATTTGCCACGGGCCTCAAAGGGCACAGTTACGCCACTGTCAGTTACTGATCTAAACAACACATAGCTATTGATTCACAACATCATCATTTTCAGCCAGTTGCACAAATGTTCATTAAAATTCGCATTAGGTTAACGCCACATTACCCATACAAATATTCAAATTTGGAACATTCATTAGAGCTTAGTCGTAATTAAACTTTAATGGACGTTTGTGCAACTGGCCGTTTGGCAGTCAAACATTTATTGTTTTTAATGATCCATAATAGTTATGGGCGATACGGGTGTACACAGTAAACCAAAACAAATATATTTTTTTTGGGAGTGTTTAATATACTATTACCGATAATCACACTTTTATAGTTATTAAATTTATAATATTGCTTAAATTAATTGTGAATAATTAAATATTTTAGCCTCTTTGTCACGGGAACGTACACGGTGCGTGACGCCACGCCCCTCTTTCTCATATCTGAACTTAGACAATTAAACCTTATGCACTCATAGAACGATATTAGTTTATGTGAGGAGTTATGTCATAGCGACACCATGACAGAAGTTGGCTTATGATATGAATGATACTTCATTAATCTCTATAATATAAAAAAAATATAAAAAGTTGTCTTCATCCCTATTTCTATAAATTAAACATAGCTTATTAACAAGATCTCGAATTGAGATGTGATATATCAAAAATGAATCGATTATAAGGTAATTATTATAAACAAAAAAAAAGAAACATTCATTTGCTATGACAATATGGATGATGCCTATGTTTTGAATTTCTGTCCATCGGGTAGATTTAGAGAATACTCAAAATGAATATTTTTTTTTGTGCTTAATCAATTAATTATGGCGATACATTGAGATGAAATGTCGCATGACGTCACTTTCTTTGTACATTTTCTACATAGTTCTAGTTCTGGTCATAGTTCTACATAGTGGGGGCTCGCTATGTCACTCATAGCGAGCCCCCACTTCTTAAATCGTATATTATTTTTCTATTATATTACTGACGGACTAAATATACTTTCTTTTTTACCATACATCATCTTTATTCAGGCATTGAAATGAAAAAAATTTAATGCAACTACATTTTAGTTTACAAAGCAGATTGTGAAATGGTACAGAGATATTTTAAGTATTGTTGTATCTAAATAGTAGTCTACCTTACCTTAGCCAATTGTGCCAAATGTTGATTCTGTACTATAGCGGCCCTATAAGTGGCCAGTCCACCTTCCGCCAGACCGGGAAACATCCGGAACAAATGTATAGAAGACAGAAATTCCACCACCGCATCCCCAAGGAACTCCAATCTCTCGTTGTGTTTTATCTCTGACTCTGTTTCACTGTGTTTGCCGAATCGGGACATTATGTTAATGAGAGTCACAATACCTGTAGGAAAACGTTAATTCAAAAATAGTCTGTTTTATAAGTGAAAATACGAATTATTAAGCATTTAAACTTAAAAATTTTACCCTTATATTACTCGTATTTATTTTAATACTAATTTGTAAAATATTACTCTTTGAAAACTTTAAAAAAAGAGGGGAAATATACTAAATAAATTTGTTAAAATAAATATAGCATTATTATTAGTTACATAAAACGTTATAACTTTAATTATAACAGCTATAAACTTAAACACGCAAATAACAAAGATTGCCCAGATGCCCATACATTTTTCACTATCATAGCACTGTGTGATGTCACTTAATGCATTGAATTAGAAAGGCGTTTTCAGCCAACTAGCAGCAGTTCTAAAAACTTAGCACCGTATCTCCGAAACTATTGATCGCAGACGTGCTGTTACTTCTACGTTATTTCTCAGATATTAATGAACAATTTATTTATAAAATGAAAAAAGTCAACTAGCCTATTATAAAAATTTGTATTCACGTCTTGTTATATCAAAGTCATAGAAATTGAGTCTTAAGTCAAATAATGTAAGGCAGATTTTGATTAAGCAGTAACTTATGATAATCGAAATATATCAAATGTATCATTTTATCATGTACAAATTCGTGGGAAGTTTCTCAAGAATTAATTATTTTAACAAATTATTTAGCGTCAAGAAATTGTAGTAAAAGCACATACCTTTCTTTCTCGTATAATGTATTCTCCTATCACCATATTCAGGCTGTCTAATGCCACAATTAGTAAGACTGTTCCTAGCGTGGTCAGGATTTGTTCCAAAATTCTCTCTATATGATGGATGCGTCAAAGCGGTCTGGAGTAACATACGCTGTTTGAACACGTATCCGACTTTACTCTCTAGACTGTCCAACGATTTGTGGAAACGGAGATGACGCACCAAGACAGGTATTAGCATAGCGTGCTGAAATAACAATAGAAAATTTGCAAAACGCACAAAGAAATAATGGAATTATAACAAAATTAAAAGAATTGCTAGTCAACGTTCGATTCAGAATTTAATGCTGTTATATTTCAATTGAAGTTGGAGCTGAAAATTGTGTGCCTAAAAGAAAATATTAGAAAACTTCGTAAAATCAACTTAAAACTCATATCAAAAAGATTACGCGGTAGATCGAAATATTGACGAAATTTATCTTACTGTTCCAAAATAAGGAACAACACAGTAAATAATAATAAGTTAGAAAAATTCTTTAAAAACTTCATTAAACAATCATATAAACCTATTTATGATGAATCATTTCATTATAAATAAACAAGTATTTATATTATTGTCTTAAGTTAACTATTGTTTAGTAAAAGTTATTTTAACACACTTTAATATACTAAATTCGACTAGGTATATTTTAGTGAATATAGGTACATTTTTTAGAGTGGCTCGGTGGCATAGTGGATAAGCACCGTGGCCTGCGATCGTTGTCGTTAAGCAACTTTCACAAGGGTCGGTCACGGGATGGGTGACAGAAAAATTACTATCTCGAGCTACTCCGTGCTTCGGAAGGCACGTTAAGCCGTTGGTTCCGGCTGCATTTGCAGTCGTTAATACCCTACAATCCGCATTGGGCCAGCGTGAAGGGTCATGTGCCATCTTTGTTAACCATCCATAAGGAAGGTCTGAGCCCCTGCAGTGGGGACGTAAAAGGACTGATGATGATGAGGTACATTTAAAAATAACTATGATCTGGCACACAAGTGCTCCCGCTAAGTTGAGCAAAAGAGCAAGAACCAAGTACGGCAATAACACTTACTTGTACAACATCGCACATAAGTCCGGTAGTATGGAATCCTTCAGACGATATGGCTACGGTGACATCTCTCTTCATCTTACTCTGTGTACGCATCTCCTGTAATTTAGCCTCTTTAGCTGCGAGCTTCTGCCGCTCGTTCGTCGATGGTTTGGCCATGTTAGCTATCAAATGCCTGTACTTGACGTAATAACGCCACGCCTTCTGGTACCTGAGATAAAGAAGGGCTTGAATTACTTTCTCGTAGAAAATAACTCTCATAGAGCTGAATAGCTCGGTGGCGTAGTGGATAAGAGCTTCGCCCGCGAACGTTGCTGTTAAACAACTTTAGGGTCGGTCACGGGATGGATGACCAAATAATTATTATCTCGGACTACGCCCTGCTAGGGAAGGCGCGTTAAGCCGTTGGTCACGGCTACATTTGCAGTCGTTAATACCCTCCAATCCATACATGCAAATAAGCACTGTATACCCTACCCAAAAACCCAACTGAACCTAAATTGTTTAATTTTTATTTACATACTCATACATTAACTCGATACGAGTAGTGACGGAGACTCATGATCATGATTTGGTTAAACTAGTAAAAGTGCAATCTATCAAAATTGGACAGAACTACTATAGGGTTCTAGTTAGCGGAATATTTTGGACCGACTGTTACACTGGCGCCGCCGCCACCGATGCGACCGTAAGCTGCACTTGTTATTCGCCATACAAACACGACAGGTCAAAACTATTTAATTTAGCCGGTGGACTATTTTATTTAGCCGGTGTATCGTTTCAAATTTTTATTTAAAATATGCACGTTGATTTAATTTATAAAAATTAAGGGATTTTTCAGATACATGCCAAACATTTTGTCGGCCGCTGATTGCTTATGCGAGCAATGTCTAAAATAATAGGTATTAAATAGTAACAGTTCAGTAGTTCTTACTTTTTCTATAAAACGAAATAGTTTTGCAGTAACTTATTTCTATGTTCTTGGTGACCAACAAACATATAAATGATCATTATCCTGGCCAAGTCAGGCCATGTGGTTAAACTCATTAGAATGTACTGAAACTATGGTGAAAATTGGTAAGATTTTTCAATATAGGTACGGTCGGCCAAGAAAGTGGTCTACCAGTTTTGACAATATTTCCCGTGTCTTTAAAGCATCGCTAAAGGCGAATCTTAGAATTGCATACAAACAATAAAAGAGATGCACAATGCTGACGTGTTGTCGTAGAACACAAATGTTATTTTGACCTTTGCAGCCTATGCATTAGATAATAATTTGCAACAACAAATAGTCTTCACAATATTTCATAAATTTAAAATTTAAGTAGGTCACTTCAAAGTGGAAACTATTTTGTTACGAAAACTCGTTTACTGAAAAATAATATATCACTTAACAATTCATGTCAAATATTTTCTCGGCATTTTCCGTAGGTATTTTCCACAGAACATAGAGAGAGATAGAAGTATAATGATATTAATTTAGTATGGGAACCGAGTGTCGCCTCTCCGCACACAAATGCAGATTAGATGAAATAATCATTTTGTTCACTACATGAAAAACCGCCACGCGATACGTTCGCGATAACATAAACAAAATTCCAAAAAGATACTAAGCTAAAAAATCACACGATTAAAAACAAACTCTAATTTAACGTGATAATAAATAATTTACTTTAACATGAATGTTGAACTGTCACGTGACTGTCCAGCTTGTATACGGGGATACCAAAAGGGAAAAAATATTTTAAGATGATGCACATTTTAAAAAATTGAGGACATCATTTTATGTGCGAACTATTAAGATTAGATTTTGCTGTAACCAAGTGAATAGTGAAAAATAACACTTTTCCCTATATAATTTAATAAAATATCTGATAAAAAAACGCAGTACAAAAACTAAGAAAACTTAATGATAAACTCTATCATTTTTCAATAAGACTTCTCTGTGTGTAATAAAACAGGGAGAAAAAAAACAGCCCTTGCTGAGTTTCTTGCCGGTTCTTCTCAATACAAGGTCTCCCGCTGTAGTTTTGCGAACCGATGGCGTAGTTTTCGACTTTCACAAGTGCTCTGTAAAAGCCTAAACTGAATAAATAAATTTTGATTTTGATTTTGATCATATGTCTGTGGAGTAATATAATTAGGCGAGGGAAAGTGTAAAAACAAAAATAATAAAACAACAGATTTTTTGTATTAATCACATTAAGCCTAATTTTTTTTTCTTACTGGTATCATTCCGATTGTACATATTAGTGATGGGACATAATATTAGTTGATAAAATAAGAGCTTTAAATTTTGTTATTAAACAGTTCAATGTAATTCAGTTCCACAATGTTCTACAGTGGTTTGATAGTAATAATATAAAGCTTAATTCAAATAAAACGAAATGCATAAAGTTTGCATTACCTAATGTGGGGAATGTTAATACACTTATAAATTTAAATAGTGAAAAAGTTGAGTTGGTGGAATCGACCAAACTTCCTTAGTATTACACTAGATTCCCGACTGCAATGGGATCCTCATATTGATAATTTGTTAAGTAGACTGAGTTCTGCAGCATTTGCTGTTAAGAAAATTAGACTCTTGACAAATGATGAAACGGCAAGATTGGTATATTTTAGTTATTTTCATAGTGTAATGACGTATGGTCTATTGTTGTGGGGTTCTGCGGCTAGCATTCAAGATATTTTTATTGTACAAAAGAGAGCTGTCCGCGCTATATATAATTTACGGTCTAGAGAATCTCTAAGAGAAATATTTAAAAAAAAAATATTTTGACTGTTGCCTCTCAATACATCTATGAAAATATGAGTACGCAAGAAAACATTACGATTCCTTCACAAAAAAAAGTAGTGTTCATAATCTCAACACAAGAAATAAAAATAAACTTGCCGTTCCAAGCTTCAGACTTCAGAAAACCAGAGAATAATTTCTGGGTAAATGCATTGCTATGTTCAATAAAGTTCCACAAAATGTAGTTGACCTACCCATAAATAAATTTAAAATTCATGTAAAGAATATACTTATGAGTAAAAGCTATTATAAAGTTGATGATTATTTTAAGGATCGCAATGCATGGAATTAATAGCCTTCGCTTTGTTCTATAAAGACTAATTATATGTTCAACCTATGTCCTACAGACTTTGGAAGTTTATTTATTATTGTGATTTGATATGAAATGACATGATTTATGTAAATGTTATTACTTATGACAAAGAGCTGGTAAGTTTCTTTCGCTTGTTCTTCTTGTCAGCTAAAAGACGTCCTGAACAAGTGGTAGGGGAAAAAAATTTTTTGGACGAATCAAAAGTGCTTGTAATAAAGATATTTTCATTTCTTTATTACAAGCACTTATTATTTATAGCACATCAGAATTTTTTAATATCTAAAAAAAGTGCCTGGATATTTCATTATTTCATTTGTTCAGTATAAGTTCATCTATTATTTTCTCTTGTAAACAGTATTATTTAGTTTTATATAATTATGGCATATACTTATCCATAACGTTGTTATGAAATGATGAAAGAAAAGCTCTAAATAAATATGTTTTAGTTATCGATTACGTTCCACGATTACGATCGATTACGATCCATATAATTAACAATACGATTCCGAGCAGCAGCAGCCTATCGGTACATTTCAGACAAATGGAGGCACAGCACTATTTTTTGCAAAAGTGCACAAAATGATTTATATTGCTGTCTAGTAATGGGGTCAGAAACATTGATGTTGGTTTGAGCAATCAATGTATATTTTATTTGACATTGTGTCAAATTATTACGTTTTTTATATTTTATACACTAAAATTGTATTTACCAGTGAAAGGAAATGTTTGCATTAGTTAGATTGTATACTTTGCTTTGCTTTTTGCAAGTGATTATAGCACAAAACGGTATTTTTTATAGAAAAAATCTGTAAAATCACCACTCGACGATTGACTGGCAAACGTAAAACCGAGGAAAGGGCGTCATATGAGTAAAAGCGCATATGCCAGCCACGCTTGCCCCGCCCACTTACTACTTCTAATCTCTCTTTATGTTCTGTGGTATTTTCCTAATTAATTTACACTACAATGCCCCAAAATTTATCCATTAACGAAAGAGCACAAATATTTTTACACAATGATGGTTTGAATATTAGTGAGATTTCTAAAGAATTAAATGTGTCGGTAAGTATTATTATGTCCGACGTGAGTTTAATGTAAAATCTCACACCAAGTCCGAGTGTAATTTTATTTTTTATTTTTTCTGTTCATATTTTATTTTTGCTTATAGAGACAAGCTGTCCGTCTTTGGATAAGACGAGAAAGCGAGGAAGGGAATTTGAACGCTCGGAGTCGTAGCGGTCGTAGACCTGAAATATCAGATACTCAGCGCGTCTTCATGAGACGGAGTTATGAGGAATCTGGCTTTATACCAACGCGTTATTTTGCCGACATATTTGACGTGACTCTCCAAACCATTAGAAACCATTTACATTACATGGGCTTACATCACAGGCGTTATGCAAAGAAATTTATATGACTGACGCTCATAGAATGGCCAGATTAAATTTCGCCATAGAATATTTGGATTTTGATTGGAGTAACACTGTTTTCTGTGACGAGAAAACTTTTAAATCCAGTCAACACGGGCGTCTACACCTTTGGCGATTCAATAAAACGCGATACACGCAAAATCATGTCGTGCCAAATAGAGAATCGGGTCGTATCTCGGTAAATTTGTATGGATGGATGACTGCTGATGGTGTTGGAGACTTGACCTTTTTGCCACCACGAGCAACGGCATCAGATTATGTTGATGTTCTCCAAAATGCTATGTTGCCATCCGTCCGGAACGTTTATCCAGAAAATGAAATGCGTCAATTTAATTATTTACAGGATAACTGTCCCTAACATAAAGCAAGGGTAACACGTGCTTGGTTTGATGCACATACGGAAATAAACTTGATACCATGGCCTGCCAAATCGCCAGATCTCAACCCTATTGAAAATATGTGGGGTCTTATGGTTCAGAGATGGTGTAACCGTAATGAACGAACAGCAGAAGCACTACAAGGGCACTGCAATGAGGTTTGGGAGGAAACACGTGGGTCTGATATCTGCTCAAGACTGGTGGGCTCGATGAGGGAACGTCTCCAAGCTGTTATAGAGGCAGATGGCGGCTACAAAAGATTTTAAGAATTATAATTTTATAAACGATTGTATTGATTGATTGTATTGATTGTATTGATTGTATATATTTTTTAACAACCAAAGAATAAGCATTTTCACTATCTCTTCTAGTTTTAGCCCTTGTCTCGCACTAAGCTATGGGTCGGCGCAATATGTTTTTCGTCGCTATTCATTTCTGTTATCCGTTATCTCAGTATATTCAGACCTATAACATGTATAGCTTCTTACGCATAGCATTTCACAACCTACTGATTTTTTTTATTTGTATTAAAATATAATTAATCTACATTCTAATGTAGGATATTTGTAGACTATAAGACTTTATTTACAATATTCTAACTCTAAAGTATTTAAACATACAAACAGACAGACAGAAAAAAAAATATTTTTGGCTTCTATTAGTCTTATGAAGGCCGTCCATATATTTTTTTTCCAAAATATCTTACAAATGTAACCTTGTTACATTTTTATCATAGGTATAGATAATTACTGTCAAAGGTTACGTCAAAATGATGAAGATAGCAATAATGACGTGTACTTGACGTGTCAAAAAATTAATGCTACGGAAAATCAACCTTGTTGTTAGTTGACGTAACACGCGAAATTCAACCTTAGGGTGGTAGACCACTTTCTTGGCCGACTGTACATGCTGCATACCCTACCCCAAATCTCTGTGCTCCACGCCCGTGGCATTGGGCCACCGTGGAGAGTCATGGCCCATCCTCCTTAACCATCCATAAACCTGAGCCCCTGCAGTGGGACGTAAAAGGGCTGATGATGATGATGAGAAAATCACTTATCATCATTGAAACTGGAGTCGCATTGACAATTCCACGCAAAGGAACTAACCACTTTTATACAGTGTAATCAAAAACTCGGTCCTAGACTAATTCATTGTCTGTGGATAGCTTTCTAAAGTAAATACTGCACATCGATTTTTAGAAAGAGACAATTGGCCAATTTGGACTTAGTAGAGCGTTGTCTTTGTCGCACACTACCTACGTGACATTGTATCAGTCGTTTTTAAAACGTCTTAAAATAAAAGGCTTCAATAAAATTCAGCCGCACAAATAGGTGCGATGTACCCATCACACTAATTTATCAACACATAATTATATTTGATCAATTTATTGAAAAGTGCTTTAATAATTATGAATACATTTCAATAAGAATAATGTGTAATAAAAGAAACATACTCGGGGTTACCGGCGTAACTGAGCTGCGGAGGCCGAATGCCAAAATGTACAATCTCTGGATAGTACTTCCTAGTCTCCGTAGAAGATTTGTTGTCATTAACAGGCGGGCTACGATCTATTTGGTCCACGCGTACCGAACACGGTTTTTTACCAGGGTATGTCACTATCATGCCTGAAAAAAAAACGTGACAGTTCAAAAGTTGTGTTGTCCGGAGATATCACTTATATGTGTGTAAAATTATGCATGTGTTACGGTTTTGTGAGACATTGCTTATCACAACCTGATTAAAGTCATCAAAAGAGCAGCGTTTGCGCAAAGGGACTACTTAATTTGGCCGGTGTATCGTTCAATTAAACATTTTATTCGCCATTTTGTTTTGATTATTTTTCTGAGCGCATGTGATTATGTTGTAAAATCATTAAGCAATCTAATTACGTAGTGATTTATTTACCGTGATTTTTGGAAAATTATAGCTTTGAGCTGCTCTTTCTGCTCTGTACTGTTGATGAATTAAATACGAATGCATTTTCATTTTCCTTTGAAGAAAAATTTTAAATAGTTGCAAAGGTAAGGTATGCTCGGGTTAGATTGTACTAAAAAAAGAAGGTAATAATACTCGTTCATTAATGTAAAGTATTATGATAGTTATAATTGGCTAGCATTCAAAATCATATATTTGTATGTAACAAATAATTTAACAACCATATTTCCTGAAGTTAACAAATTAGCAAACTATTAGTTATGATGACGAAGTGAGTTGCCACCTTTTGAAACAACATTGGCAGTAAAAAAAAAGGCACGTTGATTTAATTTTTAAAAATAAAGAGATTGTTCAGATGATACAAAACGTTTTATCGACTGCTGACTGTTTACGTGAATATCTAAAATTCTTGGCATTAAGTATTAACAATTCAGAACTTCTTGCTATTTCGATAAAACAAAATAATTTTGTGGTAACTTATAAATAAGTTACATCTCGATGTTCATGGTGACCAAAATACATACATGATCATCATCCTGGACTCATTAGAGGGTACTGAAACTATGATGAAAATTGGTATTTTTTTTTCAATATAAGTACATGCTGCATACCCTACCCTAAATCTCTGCACGCTCCTGCAGTACAGTACACTTACAGTACAGTATGATTACAGTACAAAAGACGCTTTAAACATGAAATATTTACCTTTGATTCTATCGACAAATTTCTGCCAAGTATAATGATCCATACTATGGACATCTTCGAGTTTCTGTGGTGGTATAAGCAAGCCACTCTCATCTAATAAATACTTTAAAACCTCACACATTGACAACACCTGTAATAAAAGTGTAGGGCAAAAATAGTTATAAAAGTGAGAGCTTTAATAGAAACATTAGAATTTTTCAATAACAGAGATTTCAAATAGATTCACAAAAAAGAAATGGTCATCATACATATATATTTATAATACATTCATTATGTGCTGAAAATCTTTGAGAGTTGGACAGAGAGGAGTCACATGACAGGGTCCTATTATTTATTTATTTACTTGGAATATTATTATTTATCCATCCATTAACACGTTATGTGATTATTATCATTTACTATTCTGACCATATTATTGAAAACAATATAACAATAGTAGTTTTTAAGTTCACTGCATTCAAACACTGACAGGGAGAATATTGGAAAAAAATAAAATTATAACTAAAAAGTTCTCAACGCTTACTGTTATTTAAAAAAGAATACTCACCTCACATCCTCCTTCAGGTAGAAAACGAACAAATCGAGGCATAAAATGAAACTGAGAACATGTGGTTTCTGTTGCCTTGCCCAAGTCCAAATCAACTAATTCTAATAATTCAGTGAATAAATACTCCTCTGTAATAAATAATTCATATTTTTGAATTAGATTTGTATAACAGATTTTCAACATTAACTTTTAAAGATGGTAGTAGCTACAGTCACATAAATGACACATATTTGTAAAATATATCTTAATCGAACTAGAGGAATTTGATTATATAAGCGCTACCGATTATTAACTTAAAAAGAAAAAATATATACATTACTATTTCAATTGCTACACCATTTTTAATGCAATCCTTGGTTCGCAGGAATATCCATACTATGACAACAAGTCCTAAATAGCAAAAAATTAGGAATTTTCGAATTCTTTGTATGAAAACATGAACACCGCACACATTTGCGCGCTGAATTTTCAGAATTCTAATATCACCTTGTATAGAAAATACTTAAATATAATATAAATATAATACACTTACCGAAAAATTCAAGTTCTTGTACCGAAAAATTCTGGGGTGCTGGCTCTTCCACATACAGTATAGTATATTCGATATTAAACCTTATGACTTTGCAAGTAGGCAGTTTAGCCAATTTATAATGTGAAAACAAAGAGAATCCAGAAAAAAGGAACTCGTGTTCGTCGTGGGCTATAATAGTTGGCGCCTTCATTAGAAAGTTGGTGGGAGGAGACACTGTTATGCTAAAATTATAAAAATAGAAGAAATGTTTATTAATATTTGTAAGTCAAAGTTGAAATCTTCTTTAATCCAGTTGATACTATTAATATGACTCTTTTTCCCCCTAACAACCGTTCAGGATTTAATGATGACATTTACAACCTGTTAATATGAAGTCGATAAATACACTTTACCGCAACAATTTGATGAGTTAATATCGAGACGAATCTCCGATTCCGGTTGGTTGCGGTGATTACAGCTTTTCAATATAACAAGGATGTTCAGCTACTTTATCAGCCTATTAATATCCCAACTGTTGGGGGCACAGGCCTTCCCTTGATTAGAATCTAATAGAGAAACGTGTGTCAACACCTCACAACAGTGGGCCAGAACCACCGGCTTAAAATGTCTTCCAATGAGATAATAATCACGCTAACTACTGTCCATCGAGCTCCTACTTAGCTAAGAATCCATTTAATTCTGAATAAATCTAAATACTTACCGGTAATGATAAAGCTTATCCAGATTATTCTGGTTTGGTATACATTTGGGAAAGGATTCCTCGCCAGCGTATACACCGTGGCGCATACCGTGCCGCCGGGCGCGGGCGCTGCAGCGACATAGCGGGCCGCCGTTCATTTCACCCGTATTATTGAACCTAGAATGTCATGGTAGAATTGTATGTATATTCTTGAATAACTGTTTCATAACAAAGGACCAAAGTAATATCTATTCCATGATATCCTAGAAAATCAAATACGATTTCAAACTTTAAAGATGTTATTGAAACGTCATTAACACATAAGAATATCATCAACGTTAGCAGAATTGAAGCCATTGATAGTGATCGCAATGCCCACTATGGGGATGCCAAATGTATTCGCTAGGAAATTATGAAATAACAACTACTTGATAAATTGAACTTGGTGCGCGACTAACAGTAAGGTTGTAGAAACTTGCAATAATCATTACAATACGATTGCAATTGCAAACTCCTCTAAGACTGCGTATCCTAGACAACGCTCAATTACCATGTGTGAATGTTACATAAAAAATAGCATTCCATATCATGATTATTAATTGACAATTCATTAAAAACTATAGTTGTGTTCAGGTTCGGGATAAAAATTAACGCAAATAATAGTTCATAATCCGACTTTATTTGACAAAATAACATTATAAAAATAATTCTACTACAAAATTCAGACTTTAACTTCACTATTTCACTTCACAACACTAGCTTTCAAATAGCTTGTTCATTGGAAAATACTGATGGATGGACTATCCTTCCGATAGTCCACCGTGTATTTATATGTAGAAGCCGATATCACATCTAGAATGTTCTAGGTTGACCTCGAACTTACCGGTGTATTTGAGGCATTACCAAAAAGTTCTAGAACAGCTACCCATCCCTTTCTTCCCCAGTGATTGTCCCTTTCTCGCCGACTCACTATATACCTAAATGACACAGGTAATTTCAACAGTGTTAGCGCGATTCTTTGGCGCATAACGCCAATTAGTAATGTGTAGACGAACCGCTCCGCTGCACTACATAACAGAAATTTAATAATTCATAAAAGGTACAAAAATATCTTACCACATTTCAGGATGGAGTCTTCTGGGATGACTCTGTTTCCTTTGCAATTCCAACATTATCCTATCAGTGTAGCCTTGAAGACCATCCTCATCCAACCACTCTTCTTCGCTTTCTGATGAAGATGAACTCTTTTCCTCATCTAAGACAGTAAATAATTAGATGTAAAGATGATAGACATTAATATTATTAATAATGAAAATTAAAAAATAGCATGATATAAAAAAAAACTTACAACTATGTTTACACTTTGCTTTTGGGGGCTTTAAAGGAGGTAGTTCATCCACCTCTGGTCTAGCATTTCGCCCTCTCTCAATTAAGTTCTTAAAGAACAATTCACACAGTTTCTCAAGCTTTTTAGTTTGCTGCATCCCGATCCCATTTTCAAGAGGCTTATAGTATAGTTCAGCTGGTGAACTCCTGTACCACATTTTTGTAGCCTAAAAGTAATTGAAACTTTAAATGAATAGTTTTTCTTTTCAAGTAGTAACAAATTCACTATGATTATCAAGTCTCACCCAGGTGATTGCATTTATATATTTATAACATCTATTTAAGTGTGATATACACAATTGCAAACCTGCAAAATAGCATTCTGACAAATGTACTCTGAGCAGAATTTTAACACTTGCATATTGAGTATTGATAAAAATGCTCATGCTCGGCACAGGTATGTTTATATTCTTGTGACAACAGAGCAAAGTAAGCTCAATTAAAAATTAGATTTTACCCTGGAGTGACCACAACAGTATGATATACATATAAATCAAAACTTACTTCTTCTGAATCTGCATTATGCTCCTTTGACCACTGTTCCATTTTCTCAATCAAATCTTCAGATGTTTTGCAGTAATTCTTCCTAAGAACATAAAAATTAATGAGACATATTAAAGTTTAAAATTATACAAAACAAAAAACCTTAAAGTTGATCCAAAATTTAAACAAAAAATGGTGAAATCAAATAAATTACAAATATTTCTCAAATGAACAATTTTATTTAGTATTCATTGTTTTATATTACCTGTACTCTTCTAATATCTTTTCACGGTCAGAAAGAGGTTTACGGGGTAAATCTCGACGTCTTGGGGATAAGTCTCTGGTACGGCTAACACTGTGAGATTCTCTTGAAGGTGAATGAAATTTCATTCTGCTTGGGGACTTATAGTATCTTGGTGACTTTCTATCTTCACGCGGATCATAACTTCTACTATGACTTCTATATTCTCTATAATGGGGTGATCTATGCCTTCTTTCATATTCATATCTTCTTCTCTCATATTCACGTCTTTCATAATACTTTTCTCTATAATACCTCTCTTCTCTTTCTCTAGAACTATACCTTGAAGGACTTCTGCTATAACGGCTTCGACTATGAGATGGACTATGTTTAGATCTATATTCATGATATCTAGATTCCCTATCTCTTTCTTTGTGTATTCTTTCTCTCTCTCTTCTTTCTCTATCCTGCATTTCATTTCTATATGGAGAATAACGATAATATTTACGAGAAGGAGAATCTGGATGCCTAGAAGAACTACGATAATATTTGTCACCTGTATGTTTATTTGAACTGTCCTGTAAATCAGATCTTTTACTGGTTGCATAAATGTGCTCAGATGTTGATGAGGAAGCTTGATTTATACCCTCTGTACATGTGTTTGCTGCCACAGTTGGTGGTTGTACCATTTTTGTAGTAGATTGATTGAAGTAGCTTGGCTCCGAAGGGATATAGTCCGAAATCCCAGTTTGTGGTAAATTTGACATTATAGAAGAATTAGATAAATGACCATCCATTGTATTTAAAGGTACTACATGAGGAGGCGGCATGTATGGTCTAAAATTCATAGGCACGAACGGAGGTGGTGGTTGATCTAAAGGTATGTAAGGAGTATGATGTGTGTACAGATTATGTGGTGGAATAGATCCTGAGATAACCGGTGGCGGTGGCATGTTCATAGATGGAGGAGGCACGCTATAATCTACTGGAGGCACGGACATTTTATATTTGTTATATATGCATTAAACCGTATAGAACAATCCAACACAGCAATTACAAAAACCGGCTTTCATATTAATAATTAATGGTAGCAAAACTCAGACTTCGTGCACAGAGACAACAAAAACACTATGAAACACCTGCGAAAAACCGTGTCGTGATAACTTACAATCACAGATGTCAAAATGACATTTTGACTTTGACAGTACTTTTCTCAAACCTATAAAACAAAGGAGTGTGATCCACATAGGCTGACTAAAGTCAAAAACCATTTGTTCCCAAAATGAAACTAGATGTCGCTACGGTACTTTCTTGATTTTTCCATGACAACCCTTCCATTTCTTTCATAATGGTTTTCTTTCATGTATAAAAGTAAATTAGTTTTCATAACTAAATATTTAATTTGCAATTGCTGTCACTAGACTGCAAAAAGTTAATAACTCATTCAAGGGTCTTTGGGCGCTTGTGCACTACACTGAATTTTCAGGTCCGGCGGTCCGATTTTTTCCGGTCCGGAATGACATGAAAAACTCGGATGAGTAGCTTGTGCACTTGTCCGTTTTTTTCCTGATCGGGGCGGCACAGAGTAGGGCAGCTCTCTTTGAAGCTACACGTCACTTACGCTAGATACGATGAGATTTTCGGAACGTCGGTAATTCCGTTCGAAGACGTAGAAAATTACCTAAATAATGATCTGATCGTTTTACATAAACCATAATAAATTATGGCAAGACGAAAGCATTTTTTTTTACTACTATCGGATGACTATTATCAGATGTAAAAACTTATACCTTGTTAAAAACTAATTTAGGAACAGCATTATTCACATACAACAGCTAAAAATATCTGTGACATTAGAATAAAATTACTGATAATGGTCTAGTACTTGATGTTTAAATTTTTAAACGTGCTATTTTTTTTTCGAAGTTTTGTAAAAACAACTTTCAGCGATTACAGATATAGACCAATCGGTGGCGCCATTTTGTAAACAAATCGAAATTAGTGCCGTGTTAGCGGAGAATAATTATGCTAAATGAACTTTACGAGATCAGTTGACTGTATTATATATAGGCATAATTTTATACTTGTTTAGGCGTCTAAGCGTATTTACACTTATTTATCTTACCTTAAGCTATCGATACTTTTAATACGATTCTAAAATCTAGCTAAGTATCGATACTAGAACCATACGCTGATCAAATTAGAATTATACCGAGTTTGCCAAAGCATATGCAGTGATATATACCAACTATATTAAATCATCATATAAAATATAGCATTTTATAATCAACAATAAATATCGATTATAAGTTTATTGGAAATTAATAATTTTGCCGAAATAAATATCGATTCAAATCGATTATTTTTTCCCAAGCCTATTCCTTATGAATTTTCCGGATCTCGGACACAGCAGTGCACAAGCGTAAACACGTTTTTCATTGCCGCCATCACGGAACTGAAAAAACCGGTCCGGAATAGAGAAAAGTAAAATTCCGGACGGTAAAATTCCTGACAGTGCACAAGCGCGCATTACCTACATATGGTCTGACATATCGGACCTGAAAAAATCGGACCGCCGGACATGAAAATTCAGTGTAGTGCACAAGCGCCCTTTGTGTGCGCTTCTACAATAAGGTCCCAAGCAAAATACAACAATTAGTGATACAAGAAAAGACAATACCAATTTAGATACTTGGTTTTATTATGCTTTAAAACAGAGCAAATTATTTAACATAAGAGAGTATGACAATATCAATTTATAACATATGTCATCATTGAAATATAAAGTATAGAACTTTTAGCAAAGAGTATGATTATAAACTCAAGGAGTTCACATCATTCACCCTGTGCATTTTTTTTTTTAACCACAGTCGAAGCATAATCCTGCAGATACGGCGGAGGCCTTCGCTCCCGAGAAGAACGACGTAGCTGAGAGTCTTCAGGAGATGATACAAGTGCCTCAGGATGCAAATCTATAGATTGTTCATTTTCTGTGAAAGACTCTTGATCAGGAACTTCCTCTGGGTCTTCAGTATCCAAAAATACGTCATCGTTGTGCGGTATTGGGGCCAGCGATCTATTTGAAACTGTTGTCTCACGTCCATCAGGCAACCTCACAAAGGAGTAGGCCGGATTGCTCTGAAGTAACTCTACTTCCTCGACGGCTGAATCATATTTAGAATTTCTAGCGTTCTTTTTCATAAATACCGGCCCTGGTGACATTAACCAGGTTGGCATGGAAGAACCAGTGCATGAGCGCCGAGGATGATTAAACATCCGTTCGTGAGGGGTTGTGTTTATCCCTGTAGATAGTAATGACCTTATAGAATGTAGTGCAATTGGCAATGATTTTTCCCAACAGGCACTATCTAAGTTCTGAGAGCGGAGATGAAGCTGGATTGTCTTCCATAGTGTTCCATTAAGGCGTTCTACCAAACCGTTGCCTTGTGGATTATATGGGGAAGTACGGCTACATGAAACACCAAGACTAGTCAGGAATAGCTTTAATTCTTCTGACAGGAATGATGTTCCTCTATCGGAGTGAACATAAGCAGGAGTACCGAACAGGCAAAAAAGTTCTTTCAGGCACTTAATTATAGTCGCTGATGACATGTCTTTACAAGGGAATGCGAATGGAAATCTGCTATATTCATCAATTATGGTTAGAATATACTTATTGCAGGTGTTGGATGGTAAAGGCCCTTTAAAATCCAAATTCAATCGTTCAAATGCAGTCGTTGCTTTAATTAGTTTACCTTCATTCTTTACATATCTAGGTTTTATTTCGGCGCAAACACGACAAGCAGAGGTGATTCTTTTGACTTCTTCAACAGAATAAGGAAGATTTTTAGAACGAACAAAATGAATCATTCTTGTCACACCTGGGTGGCATAGAGAGCTGTGAAGGTCAGCGAGTTGTTTAGAAGAACTATTTATAAGGGAACAGACACGGGATAACGCGTCTGCAGCTACATTTTGTTTGCCAGGGCGATAAATTATGTCATATTTAAAACAAGATAGTTCCAGACGCCATCGTTCTATCTTTTCATTTTTTATCTTGCTTGAATGTGTTTGATTTAACATGAAAGATACAGACTGTTGATCAGTGATAAGAATAAAGTAACGGCCAATTAAATAATGACGCCATTTGCGAAGGGCTTCCACAATTGCACTCGCTTCTTTTTCTATGGAAGGTTGGCGTCGTTCTGAATTATTTAGAGAACGTGTGAAAAATGCCACCGGGCGGCCTTTCTGTGAAAGTGTGGCTGCTATGGCAAATTCTGATGCATCAGTCTCAACAGTGAACGTTTCTTTTGAATCGATAGAAGCCAGAGATGATTGTGCAATATCAGCTTTAAGTTTTGTGAAGCATTCTATTGCTTCTTCAGTTAAAGGAAATGAGGAATCGACCAATGGTTTTATTTTTGCTGAGAAATTATGAATCCATTTTGAATAATGGGCGAATAGGCCAAGAGTTCTCTTAAGTGTGGCTGTATCGGACGGAATAGGAAGACTCAAAAGCGGTTCGAGGCGTGTTTTGTCAGGTTGTATCGTATTGTTATGAATATAATAGCCAAGTAGATTGATAGAATCAGATTCAAACACGCATTTGTTCTTATTTAAGGTAAGATTGTATTTCTTTGCAGCTTCCATGAACCTTTTCAGATTGATGTCGTGTTCTCGCTTGTCTTTTCCGCAGACAGTAACATCATCTAAGTAAGCATATGTACCTTTTAGTTTTTCCGTACGAATGATATAGTGAAGAGTTCTTTGAAAAGCAGCGACACCATTGGTAACACCAAACGGAATCCGTGTGAACTGGTAAAGATTACCACAGGCTTCAAATGCGGTGTAGATTTTCTCCTTCGGAAGGATAGGTACCTGATGATATGCACTTTTAAGATCTATCTGACTAAATACATTATACCTAGATACGGAAGCTACTATAAATTCAATACTCGGAAGAGGGTATGCATCTAGATCCGTAAATCTATTTATAGTCTGTGAATAGTCTATTACTAGACGTTTTCGGTGATGTCCACCTCCTGCAACCAGGACTTGCGCTCTCCATGGGGAGACGCTAGGTTCTATAACTTTGTCTTTTAGGAGATTAGCGATTTCATTTGATATGAATGTTTGATCTTCTTCAGAGTGACGTCTAGATCGGATGGCGATAGGTTTGATGGATGGCGAAAGGTTAGTAAACACTGATACAGGCGGCACAGAAGCTTCCAGGACGTTGCAGATTTTCAATGGATCCTTTTCACCACCGAACTGTAATTCAAGAGAAGAATGTGTCCTTAGGATATCATGTCCTATGATCACGTCAGCACATAAGCTATTTATGATAAACAATGGCTGTTGTTTATAAACGTTATCTCCAATCTGGATAGTAACGTGACATAGACCATTGACGTGTGATACATTATGTAGTGAAGCTAGGGTTACAGCTTGATTGCAATATTTTCTTTTAAGTTTCATTAGCTCTACTAGGCTATTGTCAATAAAACTAATGGAGCTTCCGGTATCAACTAGGGCGTCAGCTTTGTGATTATTGATAGTGATGGAAATTGTTGCCTTACGTAAGCTAGAAGGAGCAGCAGCGCATATGGAGAGTAGTAAGCTAGACGGAGAAGCTTCTGGTGTATCTTCTGTGGTTACAACGTTAACGATCGGTTGTTTTTTATCAGCGCTTCGACAGACATTCGCAAAATGTCCTTTTTTTTGACAAAACTGACACTGTGCATTATATGCAGGGCATTTTATTCTTTGGTGCACGGTCCCACCACAGAAAAAGCATCTCCTTCTTCCGAATTTAACGGCTACAACCTCACGCTCTGGCACATCTTCAAGAAGAAGCCAGAGCGTGAGGTTGTAGCCGTTAAATTCGGCGTAGTGTTCGTCATAACGTTTAGAGACGGTGCAGTGTTAGATTGTAGAACTAAGGACGTGTTTTCGGCAGTCTCTAGTGAGATAGCGAGATTCAGTGTCTGTGGCAGTGACAACTCAGATTTTTCAAGTAAACGTTCGCGGATTCTTTGGGATGATAATCCCGCAATAAATGCACCACGTATTGATTCGTTCTGATGTTCCTCCGCTGTTACAGCTTTGTAGTGACAATCGTATGCAAGGGATGTCAGAGTTCGACAATACTCAGCAATAGATTCACTTGCTTGTTGTTTTCTAGAGGCAAGTAGATGTCGAGCTAGTGTAATGTTTTTTCGCCTTTCGAACGTATCATTAAGCAACGTGATAGCATCACTGTACTTCGTGCATTCTCGTATTATATTGAATATAGTCGACGACACGTGATTAATAAGTACTTTTAACTTTACCTCTTCAGAGACGGGTGAAGCTTCTTCTTTAAGAAAATTTTCAAATGAGTACCGCCAATGCGCCCATTTCAAATCGGAACCGTCAGTTGAAGGAACTGTATCGAAGCGTTCCGGACGTAGGTAGCGTGACAAACCAGAAGGCGGAAGAACTTTGTCCTCAGACATTTTGAATTCGAAAAACACTTAAAGCATAATAAATTGATACAAGAAAAGACAATACCAATTTAGATACTTGGTTTTATTATGCTTTAAAACAGAGCAAATTATTTAACATAAGAGAGTATGACAATATCAATTTATAACATATGTCATCATTGAAATATAAAGTATAGAACTTTTAGCAAAGAGTATGATTATAAACTCAAGGAGTTCACATCAATTAGATATCATGCAGTTTAAATCTATTTAAAAAAGACTTATTAAAAAAGCTTATTATAAGGTATCCGATTATATAATAGCTAAGAACGCTTGGACTTGAGATGATCCAGTAACTGGATAGGTGATTACTTCTAAACTCATTATATATCAAAAATTATCTTGTTTCCATTATTATTAATTGATTATGTTATCTATCATCATTATAAGACCATAGTATTTTTCTCTCTCTCTCTATTTATAATGAATTGATCTGGTAATGACATGGTTTTTGTAAATGACATTACTCCTATTAGAGCTAGTGAGCTTTTTGCTCGTTCTTCTTATCAGCCAAAAGACGTCTTGAACGAGTGGTAGGGAAAAAAATGTTGGACAATTCAAAAGTACTTTTAAGAAGTCTATTTGAATAAAGATTATTTTGACTTTGACTTTGAATAAACAACTCATATTCTATTTGTACTTTTTCGTATTTGTATTGATATCGAAGTTTCGAACTTTGCAAATTTCAGTTTCTTTAATTTGTTAAATATAAGGAACTGAAATGACTATCCTTGGTCCATTCGTTTCCTGCAAAGAACAGCTTTTGCTAGTCGCCATCTAGAGGCGCTTTTTAGTGCTTTCTTTTTTTTAATACTTACTCATTACACGTAGCGAGCCCCCACTCCTGAAGTCATATAATATTTTTTAATATATTACTGACTTAATAGAATTTCTTTTTTTTAATCATGCATCATCCATGACGACCTCCGTAGCCGTGTGGTTCACACGCCAGTTCGATTCCCGGTCGGGTCCATGTAGAAAATGAACTTTTCTATATTGCAATGTCAGGTATGGGTGTTTTTACCTTCGTTGTCCATAATACGGGGAGTCTGAGCAATGTATGTGTTGTTGTCTGAGATTTATTTACATATATATTTTTATAATACCCGCAGACTAAATATAAATATTACTAATGTCTCTCCTTTGATTGTTACTTTTGGCGATGTATTAAAAATGTCCTTTCCGTTTGCTATCGCGTTATTATAGTGATATTTTTTTTAAATATTGAGCATATAAATATCTCTTGTATACATATAAACTATCTCTTGTATTTTGTGCTGTCTATACTTTCTATTTTCAATTGACGTCACGCTGGTGTTATTAGACAAGGTTCCAGCGTATTAGCAATTTACGGGACTTATAAAAACTTTGTATAGTATAATAATTTAATACCACTTTTATCAGCCAAAACTCAATGCAATAAAACATATCTTTTAATAAAAAAAGACTATATCATACTACTCTTAGATTTGCCCAAACCAAACAAAAGCTATTTTTAAAATAAGAAAAAGAAAATATTTACTGTTTTAAGATGGAATATATTTTGAAGATCCCTTAGACTTTGCTAGGAGTACTATGACATTTTTTTTAGTTTTTGTGTGACAATTTCAAGGTATTGCAAGCTCCGATGGTATTCCTGGACAGGATAATGTAGACCATATACATAGAAGTCTGGATAAATATAGAAAACAAACTTTCTTTTTCTCAGGACTGGGTTGTTATAGAAACTTGAGTGTTTCAGCTCTTTATTACAGGCTTTGAGCCTTTCAGTTTGAGATCAAAGCTATGTTGATTGTTGTCTATTTATTATGTATTTAAAATTATTTACACAAAATCCAATTTCATGTTTTTAAATACAGTCAACTTCACATCAGATTATACAAAACTGTCAAATTTACCCACTAGATTTTTTAAACCTTGGTGAATAAATTTAAAAAGAAAAGCATAAATGAAACTTTTTTACAAAAAAATATAAAGATTCTATCAATAATTATGTGAAAATTTTAAATTATGACATATATCTTTAATCTTTGCACTACCAAGACATTCTCCATTTTTGTACAGAACCCCATATTGTCCTTCTGTAATAGCTCTTAAATTAGTTTTTAGTATAATAGTTAAACCCTCATAATTTTTAACAACTTTACAAGGAACCAATGGTTTTGTATGTTGAAATCTAAAATAACATTCTAATACATTATTGCAATGTAAATCAGGTGGTTCACTATATATCCAATGAGCATTGTCAGTGAAGCATAACTTATTCCATAAAGCTGTATGACTTGTACCAGCAACCTAAAAAAAAACATTAGTTAGAATAAGTATTTCACATGAGAATAAATAAAGAAATCAGAAGAGGAAATAAAAATATTACCACATAAATATTATTTGACTCCAAATCTTTCTTAAATACAAAATAGGCTTGTTTGCAGTTAGCCAGGCAGCATCTTTGCCCAACAGTCCATTTATGAAGGCCACTGTGTTTTCCAACTTCTTTACCACTGTCTATGTCTATAAATAAACCTTTTTTTGTTTCAATATACTGAAAATATTAAATTAATATTACTTTAGATGAATAGCATAGATCAAAACAACTTAATCACATATATGATAAGTCTTAGCAAACTAACTTCTTCAATGAAATCTTGAAAGTTTTTTTTTCCTATAAAACAAATTCCTGTACTGTCTTTTTTGTTAGCTACATTCAAAAGACCTTCCACTTTAGCGATTTCTCTTACTTTGCTTTTCAGTATGTTTGCTAAAGGAAACATACATCTTCTTAAAGAAAAAGGCTTTACTTGTGACAAAAAGAATGTTTGATCTTTGTGTTTATCTGCTGGTTGTAACAATCGAACTCCTAAAAAACAGAATATTGATAATTTTATATTTAAAGAAATTAGCAGTTATAAGAAAATTAATACAAAATATAAAAATACCTTCATTTTCTGAATACTTTTCAAGAAATGGACCAAAAGATGTATTTGCATAATGTCCAGTAGCGATTGCATCCACTGCTAAATTTCTCCTGCAATGTTCAAAAAAGCTGTCAAATTTAATATATCTATTGCATAATATATCAGGGTTTGGTGTCAGTCCAGATTGGTATTCATTCAGTAATATACTAAAGACATCATTCCAATATTCCTTGATGAAGTAAACCCTATGTAATGGTATGTCTAGCTTACGGCAAACAAACATTGCATCTTCAAAGTCTTTTTCATCTGAACAATATCCAGCTTCATAATTGTTATCCCAGTTGCGCATAAATACCCCTTCCACTTGAAATCCTAAAATATATAAATATATTTTTATATTAAATCTATATGAGCGTGTTAATATTCCTATATTTTATAGAGAAAATATTACCGGCTCCCTTGAGAAGGAATGCAGCTACCGCACTATCTACACCTCCAGAAATCCCTACGGCGACCTTCCTAAACATAATAATAACACATCTTCTATGGCAATCAATGTAATTAAGTGGTAGGTTTTGTAAATAATAAGTATTTTTATAGAAGATTTGGACATATGTAACACCACTCAAAATCCTTTTTGCAGAAACTTCAAGATGTGAACCACTGTGGTGAACCACGTGAACCATAGACTAAGAAGTCAAGAAGATAAAGGGTATTTTTATTTTTATTTTTTTTTTTATTTGGCTTGCACTGTTTGTGCTTAGCCATTGTCAAAGTTTGGGAAACGGAAACGAAAGGAAATAGAAGTTGGAACGGATTTTTTATGGGATAGGTTCAGGAGGCTTAGGAATTAGGAGAAGGAAGATATATTTACACAATTTTATAATACATATATAGAATAGGTTAGAGTTTAATATTATTTAAAATTATATATGATACTATGCAATTATAAATGGATAGGTTATTAGTGGATAGTAAGGAAACGATTGATGTCGGGAAAGGAACACGGAGAGACAATAGGTCATTAAGGAAGACCGTGCGATCGTAACGTATACAAGCAAAAAAGATATGGTTTAAATCTCCAGTATCCATCCCACACTCGCAGGCAGCATCATTAATGATTCCAAGTTTGGCTAAATGTGCTGGAGAACAAACATGTCCAAGACGCATACGTGAAAGAGTACTTGTAGCAGTCCTTCCATACTTCGCTTTTCGAAACCAAGGTTTATGTAAGATATCAGGTTGAATTAGAAAATAGTGTTTTCCTTTGAATTTACTACTAGTGGTCCAATCAGTATTCCATTTGGTCTGTAAGTAGCGCATGGGCAAAGATAGCAGATCTTGGCTATAATTTTTATAAGGAAACATATCACCACAATTTACTGCATCTTTAGCTAGATGATCAGATATTTCGTTTCCAGTAATTCCACTATGGCTCGGTAACCATGCAAACTCCACCAAGTAAACTAATGAACAACATTTTAATAAGCAGCTCCTTATTTCAAATATGACAGGTAAGTAAGAGCGATTACAGAATGGAAATTTAGATAAAGCTTGAAGAGAGCTCATGGAATCAGTGAAAATTATTGTTTTCTTGAGTTTCATTAGAATCACGTATTCTACAGCTTTTAATAGACCCAAACATTCTCCTGTAAAGACGGATGACTCTGGAGGAAGCTTAATTTTTTGTGAAATATTGTACTGAGAATGATAGACTCCAATACCGGTACATTCTGTAAAGGTGGATTTGGAAGCATCACTAAACACGTGATTATAGTCATTATAATTTGCCTCAATAACAGATTTAAATGTAATGTTCGCGTTGTTATCATCTTTAACAATTAAATCATATCGAATTAAAGGGGAAAGTTGTAAAGCATCAAAATTTATGCTAAATATGGGGAGACAATTGGATCGATGGGTAGGAGCTAAAAGATTTAAATATTTTTGATAACTTATTATCAAGCAAGGACGTGATTTATGGATCCAATAATTATTAGTTTCGATTTCTATATTCAAGGACTCAAGCAGCTGGAACAGAGGATGGTTAGAGAATTGTATAGCACTGAATATAAATCTATCAGATAGGTATTGACGTCTTAAACTCAGTGGGGGGTCACAAGCCTCAATTTGTAACGCATTTATAGGGCTAGATTTCATAGCGCCAATTATTATTCTAAGGGCCTTGGATTGGATGTTATCCAGTTTTTTAAGAGCACGAGTATTGCCAGGTTCTAATAGAAATGTGCCATAATCTAATAGACTGCGTATCAAGGCGTTATAAATTAATTTAAGAGACTGGGAATGAGCGCCCCACCAAACTCCGGAGAGGCATCGAAGAATGTTTAAAAGACGTTCAGTTCTGCCAACAATATAATTGCAATGCGCCACACCAGTGAGTTTTGTGTCTAAAAATACCCCTAAAAATTTTTTCTCAGGTTCAACCGGAATATTTACTTCATTATAAGAAATATTGAGAGGAGGGAGAATTCTTTTTCGTGAAAAAACCACTATTGAACTTTTCGTAGCTGATACTTCTAATCCATTAGTATCCATCCACTGTTTCAACGAACTTAGGGCAGTAGAGATATTTTCTGAAGCTATTTCAATAGAATGGTTTGTGGAATAAATTAATAGATCATCGGCGTATTGAAGAAGTTTAATATTGTTTTCAAATACATAGTCAATGTCATAAGTGTAAATGTTGTACAATAATGGGCTAAGAACGGAACCCTGCGGTAAACCTCGCCATACTGTTCTTTGTATCTCTATGTCAGAAGACACACAAATTGTAAGATAGCGTTCTTTTAAAATGTTTAAAATAAAAAAACATAAAATAGGTGGAACGTGTAAAGACTCTAATTTACATTTCAAAACAGATAATAAAACATTATCGTATGCCGATTTTATATCCAAAAATGCTGCTACCACCGATTTGTTGAACGAAAACGCAAGTCGTATATCTGTTGTGAATATACTCAAACTATCAATAGTGCTCTTTCCATTCCTAAAACCATATTGGGTTTTTGACAACAGGTTTTGACTTTCCACAAACCATTCTAGGCGATTCTTAATGAGTATTTCAGCTAATTTAATCAATACAGATGACAACACTATGGGTCGGTATGAAGGAGGATCAATTAAAGATTTATTGGGTTTAGGAATGGGCAACACTACTTGTGACCTCCAAGATAAGGGGATATTGCCTGATAACATTGTTGTATTGATAAGTTTCAAATAATAGTTTAATATGTTCTCACTAAGATTAGAAAAGAAAGAGTAAGGTATGCCATCGCCCCCTGGAGCGGAATCTTTAGTATTAAGAACTGCGGCTTTAAGTTCAGGTAGTGAAAAAAGACAATTCAAGCCAGAGAGGTTATGTGAAGAAATGTGATCATTCTTGATAGAAAGAGGAACCCATGGTGGAGCAAGTTTTTTTAAAAAATCGTCAGCTTCAGCTGGGGTAACAGAGGTGGAGCTGGGAATAAAAGCGGATCTAAACCTTTTGATATTTTGCCAAACTACAGTAGGGTGTGTATTAGGAGAAATAGAACTACAGAAATTACGCCAGCTTTCAAATTTCTTCCGTTTAAATAATTTCTTAGTTTCCAATATAATTTTACATAGAGTATCATAATTACAGGTTGTCATATTATAACGATATTTTTTTTCTGCTTCCTTTCTCTTCTTAATAGCTATATAACAGTCACTGTCCCACCATGGGGGGGAAGGTATCTTAGTAGAACTACGTTTTTTCATTGGGAACACTTCTGCAGCAGCTTCACTCAATATATGCGACAAAGCATTAGCACAGTCATCTTCATTTCCAGATTTTACTACAGGAAGATAGGCTAATTTAGTGTCTACACAGCTTTTGAATTTATTCCAATCTTCAGAGTTTTTTTCTGGGAGCCTGTATTTCCTTGTAGATGAACGTAAAGGATGTTTAGGTTTACAAAAAGGAAGAGATATTAATATTGGGTAATGATCACTGCCATATGTGTATGGGAGAACATTCCAAGACAAAAGTGATGCTAATCTAGGTGAACATATTGAAAGGTCTACTGCACTAACATTTTGCTCAGGGTTTGTGCGACGCGTTGGCGATCCATCATTCAAGATACACAGATTATTTGAGTTTATAATGTCTAGTAGTTGTTCGCCTAGGTATTTAGATACTGAACTACCCCATGACTGATGATGTACATTAAAATCTCCCAAAACTAAAAATGGTTTGGGGAGGAATGAAAACAATTGATTTATTTCATCAAGAATAGATAATGAAGGATATGGTATATATAAAGAAACTATACATATATTTTCTACTTTTACAGCAATCATTGATAAATTATTCACATTATGTTGTGGTAAAGGTATGGGTTGGAAATTAATGTTATTTTTAATTAATAGAGCTACACCACCACCATCAGTGGTAAGTCTGTCTTCCCTTACACATTTATAGCCATTTATTTTAAAATTAAAATGAGGTTTAAGCCATGTTTCAGAAAGTGCAAATACACATGGATCATATTTATTAATTAAATATATTAATTCACTTTTTTTGCTGACTGCACTAAGGCAGTTCCACTGTATTAAGTAACTGGTTAAATTGTCCATTATTGGGTGTTACAAAAGTATTTAAAGGGGCAGCGTTGGACGGTAGTACTAAATTAAACTGTGAGAGTAAATTTATAAGAGCAAAGACAAAATCTTTAGGGAGTTGTGTTTCTGATAAAGCACTGTTATTATTGTTGTTATTATTTAATGCACATCCATTATTGGGAGATGGGATATCAAATTCCCTGATGAGGGATTGGTGAGCAACTTTGTCATACCCTTTAATGAGGATGGGGTGGGGTCGAGATTTTACAGGGATGTTTTTCCTATATGATATTGTTGAGGGTACACTAGGAGTCATATTATTGTAAGATGTTTCCTTTTTATTATGAGACGGATTGGATACAATGTCAGCAAAAGATTTACTTACTGGAGGGTGCAATTTAGATGCTTCACTGTATGAGACACAATTTTGGGCCATATACAATTTAATTTGTGATTGTCTTATGAACTCGGGGCAAGATTTATTATTTGCAAAATGGTGTCCTGAACATAAACAACAATAAGCAACATCCTCTGATACTGAACAAGACTCACCAGTGTGTTCTTGTCCACATTTAATACATCGCGGTTTTGATCTACACTGCATTTTTGTATGTCCAAAACGGCAGCAGTTATAACATTGAATGGTTGGGTATATATATAAATCTACACTTATTGAATTATAACATATAAAAATTCGTTTTGGAAGAATTTGACCGTCGAACGTTAGTACAACAGTTTGAGATGGTTTCCATGTAGGAGATCCATCTACAAATACTTTGTAGTTTAATCTTCTAACTTTTAAAATTTCTCCGCAACCTATGGGAACTGAAATATTAGACTTAACTTCTTCCAAAGACCATTCCGTGGGAACACCCCTTACCAAACCCATTCTTGTAATATTAAATGTCGGTATAAAAGCTTTTAAGTTATCGGAGCTCAGACTGCTATGTTTAATAAAATAATTGGCATCACTGTATTTGGAAAATGAGACTGCCATCTTATTGCGACCAATCTTTTTTACACTACCATCAATAATGTTGTTAAAAGGGTTTCTTTTCAAGAATTTGCCAAAGGTCATTGGATGCATACTGGTCCCGTCATTTGGGGTTGATTGAAGTCTTTGCACATGCACTACAAAAGGAGCTGCATCATTCTTATCATATAATTGCCTACCAACTTGTGTGGGATGTGACAAAAGAGATTCTGGAGATTGATTTGCAATTGCATCTGAGGGTTTATTTTTAATAACTGTAGGAGCAGTATTTTTATCTGTATAATCGGTTTTATATTCTATTGGTGATGGTTGAACATTAGAAGAGTCATGATGACAATTGCAATCCAATAAGCGTGCTTCTGAAGAGTGATGCCTACGTCTTTTCTTATTACAATGTTTACAGATTTGTAAGCGACCGCGTTTTCGAGAAACATTTGTAAGAGAGCCGTCGGTGTCTACTCCTGATTCATTATTGGAAATTGTAATGTAGGTGCCAGCCGGAGGGATAAATCCCCCCGGATCCATGTCCGGGGGGTCGTTCATGTTAGAGGATAAATCAAATGACTTACCAGGGCAGCTCGTATATAGATAATAACTAAATACACTATTAATATGATATATAACTAAAAAAAAGCCAACTGAACGCTATTTGAATCAAGTTTAAATATATAAAAATTAAAAATCCAAAAAACACAACCCGCCAATTTGAAGGTTTCCCGCGCTTTTAGATAAAGGGTATGTTCCGATATACACTGCGAGCACTGAGCAGTGGTCTTACTGCTGTAAAATCCGTTCCTAGGGATGCCCGATACGATACGATATATCGGAATATCGATACAGAACCATACGATATATCGATATATGATACGATATTTTAGCCATATGATTCGTTGCGATATATCGTATTCTCACTACAATATCGTATCGACCTACGCATTAGACTGAGACATTTTGTTTACAATAAAATTAATGAGGATCCCATTACTTAACGGCACCGTTACGTATCATTTTAATGCGATGAATACTTTGTTATAGCTTATAAGTAATTATTTAACATGTAACAGAATACTAGGAGATGATACGAGCCGACTTTTATTTATATTTTGTAGGTAGATTAGGATTACTTGAGATCTTTGTAGTTAGGTACCGACAATTTTGTTTAAATATAAAGTTCATTGCTTGTCTATGTGAACCCAGAGAAGGCATGGTTGATATTTTGAAACAATATATGAGAGAACCTCTTAAAGAGAGGAAAGAAAACCCTGTATTATACTGGGTGGAAAGAAAGAATATTTGGCCTGATCTCAGTCATTTGGCGCTGCGTTATTTATCTGTTGTGGCTACTTCTGTTCCCTCCGAACGTTTATTTTTTTAGCTGGATCCACACTTTCAGAAACCCGTAATCGAATAGATCCAAAACGCCTTTCTAGACTGCTATTTTTACGCAGATTAAGTGCAGAGCAATGGTAACTGTGAATAATAAAAAGTTTGTTTTTATTTAGAGTTCTGCAATAATTTGCAAAGTTTGTTTTTGTTATGCTAATAATTATGGTTAGAGTTTGACTTTGTCACTAAAAAGCGAAATACTTACCTAATTTTATATGAAATATCGAAAATATCGTATGTATCGTTACAAAAGGATACGATAATATCGTGTATCGATACAAACACATGCGATACATTACGATACGATATATCGATACAAATTATTTTTTGGGCATCCCTATCCGTTCCGTTATGGACTGCAAGTACACTGCTACAGTACCCTAGGGAAATTCATGACGTCATAAATTGCCGCCATATTTGTACTGTGAGCACTGGAGATTTCGAGGTAAGGTGTTCGCAGTGCTTTTGATCACGTGATCAGTCGAAACAGAGTCAGAAAATGATAAGTTTCTAAATAAACAAAAAAAATACGTTTATTATAAGATGGATAAATAATTTTTTTATACAATTTTCCAATTTTATAATATTTTCTTTTGAAAAGAGGGAATATTTATGGGTATGTTCCGATATACACTGCGAGCACTGCGCAGTGGTCTTACTGCTGAAAAATCCGTTTCGTTATGGACTGCTAGTACACTGCTACAGTACCGTAGGGAAATTTATGACGTCATGAATTGCCGCCATATTTGTAATGTGAGCACTGGAGGTTTCGAGGTAAGGTGCTCGCAGTGCTTTTGACCACGTGATCAGTCGAAACAGATAAAATAAAATACTTACGTTTATTATAAGATGGATTTAATTGATAAATATTTTTTTATACAATTTTCCAATTTTATAATATTTACTTTTGAAAAGAGAGAATCTTTATATTTATATTCACCTTGCATTAACAAATTTGAAAATGGCGCCAAAAATAGGATTAACAGTATACTGGACTGCGTTCCGTTTTAAAAAGTCACCAGTATGACTAACTATAAAGGAACGGGCTTCCAGTATACTAAATTGACGTCATACTATTCAGTGGTCGCAGTGTATATCGGAACATACCCTATATTTATATTCACCTTGCATTAACAAATTCGAAAATGGCGCCAAAAAATAGGATTAACAGTATACTGGACTACGTTCCGTTTTAAAAAGTCACCAGTATAACTAGCTATAAAGGAACGGGCTTCCAGTATACTAAATTGACGTCATATGTTCAGTGGTCGCAGTGTATATCGGAACATACGTACGTGAACTATATATTTTTTTTATGGCCACTATGGTTGCCATTTCGAAATCTTAAGTTGCCGTGTTTTGGAATCTGGATAGCCGTATTTTGGAATAAAATTACAAAATTGCCGTGTATATATTTTTTTACTTTCACAAGTACTATGTAACATAGCGCCTTTTTTTCTTAAAATACTTCCTTTTTGAAGTTACAAACATCCAATAAGTTGGCTCATCGCTAATAGGTATAAACTAAACAGCGTTCCTTAACACGTGACATAATAAATAATTTAAACTTACTATTCAAATAAAATTAATTTAAAAGTAAGGAACGAGGGTGGATTGAAAAGATCACGGCCTCAGCAAGAAAACAATATAAAATATAAGCAAAAGTAATTTTATTTTTCTACGTAATCTCCACTTAACTCTATGCACTTCTTCAATCTGGTTTCCAACGCCTGTATGCCGGTCATAAAAAAAAGTTTCTTCAAGGTCTTCAAAAAAGTCATCCACCGCAGCTTCGACCTCCTCATTTGATGAAAATTTTTGACCTTCAAGGTGTTTTTTAAGTTTGCGATAAATGAAAGTCTGAAGGTGCCAAATCAGGGGAATAGGCGGGATGGGGCAGTAATTCAAAGCCGCAATCACGAATTTGAGCCATAGACTCAACAGACGTGTGAACGCGTGCATTATCTTAATGGAACACTTTCTTGCTGAGTAATCCTGGCCTTTTCTCTCTGATTGTTTCGCACAAGCGACGTAAGAGGGTACAGTTATAAGCCGAGTTTATAGTTTCACTTTTTGCAAGGTCCACCATGATAATACCCTTAGCACCTTAGCATCCCAAAAAACGCCATCACCTTGCCAGCTGACAAAATAGTTTTGGCTTTTTTGGAGTTATTTCCACTGCTCGGATTGCTGTTTTGATTCTGGATTAAAGTGGTGCACCCAAGTTTCATCCATTGTTACAAATCTGGATAAAAAATATTGTTTACCAGCCTAAAACATTTCCAAACAGTCGCGAGAAATCGTGAGGCGTATTCGTTTTTGTTCGACTGAAAGCAATCTGTGTACCCACCGCGCAGAAACCTTAGAAAATCCAAGTTCATTGACTATGATATTTTGTGTTCGTTCATACGAGATGCCAATAGTGTCTGAAATCTCCCTGATGGTCAATCTCCGATCTGCTAATATCAGATCACAGATTTTCCCGATGTTTTCTTCAGTCGTAGACGTCATAGGCCGGCCAGAGCTAGGGTCATCTTCAATACTCTCTCGTCCGCGTTTAAATTCAGCAACCCACTTTTTCACAGTCGTATACGACGGAGCAGATTCCACCAATGTTTTTGACATATCTTCGTGAATCTTTTTTGGAGTTACTTTTTTTAAACAGGTATTTGATGACCGCAAGTTGCTAAATTTTCTCCATTCTTTAAAAATGCTGCACAAAGGCTCACAAAATTCAGTCTAATTTAAATAGACTTTTTTTTTCTGGCTTCGCACGGCTTGTGCATAAACTAATCAAATGAGGTCAGTTACATTAAAACAGTTTTAATATTTAAGTGTTAGGCCGCGAACTTTTCAATCCACCCTCATATTATAAGAAATACGAACGATGCCATATTTATTTATTTTCGTTACTCAATTTACTTTTATAATATCAGAAAAAATATTTGAAAGAATATAGACAATTATCCGAAAATCGCTAGTGGACATCTAGTTTGGTTCAAAAACTTATTATTTTTTTTTTATAAGTACCTACTTCGTCTTTAACTACTACTACATCCTACTACTTGACTTGCTATATCACTCAAGACCTTGTATCTTCATCTTTATCTGTGAAATGTAGGTGATCCTTTAAAACTCCGAACCGAATTCAAATTCACTCGTGCCCCCGAATTCACGTAATTTAGTGGAGAAATTCTATTAATTTTATTTTCGTATAAAAATACGAAACGAAATTGATTGATTATACGTGTATCAGATATTCTATTGCTATACTATTTTGAAACTCACTTCGCTTATGCCACGAAACATTATTACCAATGCGAGATTGAGCGGATTCTGCTTTTTGAAGTGAATTCGGACACCTGAATGAATTCGATTTCGGGTTGGATTTTACAGAAATGAAAACCCGATCTCTGCTACTTGGTCTGTGATCGTGAGTTGACAAGTTTGAAAAGGTTAGCAAGTTTTGTTTGCGGTGTAGTGTATTACTTGCTTAATTTGATAATAATTTACTTTCTGTCCCTAAAATATGTCGAACATCAACTTACAATGCCTGTTAGGAATACAGTGCAATGATTTCGTTATGATAGCTGCAGATCAAACGAATAGTCATAGTATTATGGTTATGAAAGATGGTGAGTTTTTATAGCAACAAGATTATTAACATTGTAATTAGTTAGTAGCTATAACATACATTACATTCATTTGACTGCAGACGAAGAAAAGATCTACAAGATATCAGATAGATTGGTAATGGGAGTGATCGGTGACTCTGGCGACACCACTCAATTTGCCGAATACATAGCAAAAAATATACAGCTGTACAAAATGCGTAATGGTTATGAATTGGGCCCTACAGCAGCTGCAAATTTCACTCGTCGCAATCTAGCAGAGTACCTTAGGAGCAGCGTAAGTAAACTGGAAATTGGTCATTATTAACTTTGACGTTATGATGCTGAGAAAGCTATATAACCACACCAGCTTCTGGTTAGGGCAATAGTTCTGTAAAATATAACTGACTGATTTGGTTGCCTATAATAGTATCTAACAGTTTCTATCAGTATCAGTCTTGCGTTTATATATATTTGTTGTTTTTCAGACTCCATATTTTGTCAATGTTCTTATGGGTGGTTATGATAAAGAGAATGGTCCTGAGTTATACTTTATGGATTATCTTGCTTCAAGTATGAAGGTCCCCTTTGCAGCTCATGGTTTTGGTGGCTATTTGAGTTTGAGTATCATGGATCGTTACCACAAAAAAGGTGATTTATTGATAATATCCTTTATCTCATACAAAGTATTCCTCTGTTTCAAATTTATTTTCTACATTTTTATTTTATTATACCTATAGGTATTTAACATATAATTATTAACAAGCACCATTTTTATGTAAATGTAATTCTAAATTAATTTTTCACTATTTAACTTGTAGGTGATATTTTTCAAAAATTAAAAATATAAAGCTTTATGATGTACTTACCTATGGTTAGACAAAAATCATTCTTTTGCCAGTTGTCTCAAACTAGCATTATGGTTATCCTTGGTATGCTATAGCTTGTGATACTGTTATAGTTGTTCCAATGGGAATTTCAGAATGAAAATTTTACCTATGTTAATAAGTGATTATACAGTTTATTGCTAATGAAATAATATATGAAATTGATCCAATATTTTTTTAGGACTGTCTCATACAAAAATATACTTTCCCTTTGTAATGTAGAATATTTTATATTGATTTCCCAAAGTTATATTTTCATCATTATTGACAGATGCAACTGAACAAGAGGCATATGAAATATTGAAGAAGTGTGTACAGGAAGTGCACAAGAGACTTTTTGTTAGTCTGCCCAACTTCCAAGTAACTGTGGTCAACAGGGATGGAATCAAAGTCCTCCCTGTGATTGATTCTGCATCTTTGAAGTAATTTTTTATTTTTTAAGGTTAAATAAATACTTTTGTCTATATGTTTATATTTTTTTACACCTATTAAGATAATAAGGTATTATTATACTTTGGTTCTACTTGAAGTTTATAAATCATATAGGTATAACCAGGGTCTCGATTGTGCTAATTTTTATGTTACATAATTCCATTAACTGCTATCACAATCACTATACCTCTGAAAGGGATTGCAATATATTTTGAAATTAAAAAATTAGGCCACAGATCTTAAATAAAACTTTATTAATAATTACAGTACATAATATGTCTTAAATATTGTTTGGACATTCATCCACCTGCCTTATTTCTGTCTGGACTAGATGTAGCAGTATTAATGTCTTGACTCTCTGATTGAGAAGCATTTGTGTTATCATTATCTCCACCATTGTCTCCCTCATTGTCTGACTGATCTATTAAATATAAAACAAATTTAAATGATAAAAGGTTCATATAGGGAAGTACCAATATTAAACAGAATATGGCAAAATACCTTTCTTTTCTGTGGGCATATCTTCTGTTCTATTAGCTACTTGAAAGTGATATTCCAATTCATCAAAATCAAACACTTGGTCAGTAGGCAGCAGGCATGGCAAATAAGCTGGGAATGTTGGTTTGCATGCTATCACTGCAAGTAATTTTATTCTTATAAGTTGTTTACTTTTATTCACACTAATTACATTAACCTTGGATCTTATTTTATTTGTGAATCTATATATTTTTGTAACAGTTAATATTTTATTAACTGTTTAGTGAATAATGACATGAAACTTACATGGAAAAACTTGATTGTCTTCAGTGTTGAAGAGATTATGTGTTTCACTAGTTTTTGCTAAAAATTTAGTTAAAGCTCTTTCTATGTCCCTTTTTTGAGAGGCAGCCTTCTCTCTTATAGCTTCATATTCTGTAACTGGTTGTTTGTGAGTCTGAAAATGGGAGCAGTAAAATTTTTATTTTCCTAGATAGGAATACTGGAGCAGATTGTGTTATTTCTAAGTAATAAGACATGTATTTCTACACTTCAAATCTATAATACATATTGTGGTTAAAATTTGTAGATATTCAGTGTGGTAGAGCATAGTTGCTAAAGTTCTGAAGAGTTTGCCTGAATCAAAAATCTTTGTACCTGAACGTCTTGGTTAAAGTTTTTGATATACTTACTGGTGTCCTAATATACGCATGTGGATCAGGCAGTGGTGGCAAATGGAATGGTATGTGAGGTGCAGGTTTAGCTTTAGATCCTGCTGATAACATAGCTGGGGTCTTAGGTGCTGGTGCTTGCTGGGGTGGTTGAATTATATGTCTATTAGGACGAGCTGCATATTGTTCTAAACCTTGGAGACCAATACCTGTTAAAAGTATTCAATGTCAATTTTCTTGGTGCTAATATTTTAATGATAAATCATTGCTTAGGTATACCATCAAGCAATTTATTAATTTTTTCCAAAGATAATTTTTGACATTAGTTAATGAAATTATTCTGCTTACTGCTCGCTATAGATCTGATGTTAAGACATAAATTGTATACAGGGTTATGGTTCTTTTAAGCGGTTGTAGGGGAGGTCGTTTGCAATTATTTTCGGCTCACATTATCGCACGTTGAGAACGATAGTGACACAACGCAAAAAATGCGATTTTGAGTAATGAGCGTTTAAAGTTCAAGAAATTGTAACTAGCCCCTCTAACAACGTATCATCACTACGCCACCTAACAGTTTCTATGCAAGCTACGTTTACAGGGATCTTTGCATTTTAAAGTTTATATTTAACAAAGAAAAATGTTGCCAAAAGTAAAAAGTACGTCGTTTTTGGTTAGTGACATTGTCAATCTCAATGTGCGTTATGATGTATCCGAAAGTGAGCCATTTTGGTGATAAATCATATTAAAAAAAATATGGTCAGAATCTAATTTTGTTGCCAGTTTTGGAGAGATAACATTCCAGTTCATGATAAATAATAATATAACTCAAATAATCTTGATATACAACGTGAGTTGAAAATAATTATAAATGACCTCCCCTACAACCCCCTAAAAGGATCAGGTCTAATTACCTATAACCCTGTATAATTATATCCTGTTTATCATTCTATTGAACAAGATTTAAAAAAAATAATTATTTTATTTGTATTTGTGGTAGAATTCCATAGATTGAACTAAGAATAAAATTAGATAAGTTATTGTGGCTTTCCAATTCAAAGATCAACAAATGTGTTACTGAAATAAATCAAACATTTAATAGACCATTTATGAGAATTGAAGTAACGAAAAAAAAAATACCCATATTGATGAGTGCCATAACAACATCTCCCAAAACGGGTTCAACTCTTCCTGAAAGTTCGCAGTATCCTTTGGCTGAATTTCCAACTTCAGTGAAAACTGTAAAAAGGATAATATTTATTAATAAGCAAAAGACATAAATACAAGCTTGTGTATGATAATTTTAAAATTTACAAGTTATAAAGGAGATATCTTAATTAAGGGCTGCCTTTACATTTCCTAAACATTATATTTAGTAATATATTTATATTAATAGATAGCTGAATATTAATATTTCTGATGAAGAATGTATAAGGGACAAAGTTGATTTTTAAGCATTTTTCATTAAATATAGCTACAATTTTGAAAATAGAATCAGATTTAAAAAAATGCAAACTAATACACTGCTTACATTTCATATCTATTTATTTCCTGCCTAACTAATTAGAATATATTGGGCATAGGTTTGAAATAAGATATTGAAGACTTAATAATAGTGTCCGACCGAAGCTTCGGCTTCGGCTTCGGCGTCGGGCACCTTCGGCTTCGGCCCAAAACTAGGCCGAAGCCGAAGGTTTCGCCGAAAGGTCCGAGCTACCGTCGAGATTGAACGAACTGTTTCGAAAGACTGAGTGAGAGAGCGATGGACCGGTCGTGTTGGCAGAGGCCGCGGGGAGTCAGGGCGCTTGTGCACTACAATAAATTTTCAGGTCCGGCGGGCCGACTTTTTCCGGTCCCGAATGACATGAAAAACTCGGATGAGTAGCTTGTGCACTTGTACATTTTTTTCCGGATCGGAGCGGCACATTTTAGGGTAGCTCTCTGTGAAGCTACACGTCACTTACAATAGGCACGATGAGATTTTTGAAACATTGGTAATTGCTTGCTCTGTTACTGTTCATGCGAAGACGTAGAAGACAGGAAAAATATTCCTGGCACAGGCTAGCATTACCTACATATGGCCTAACATATCAGGCCGGAAAAAATCGGACCGCCGGACATGAAAATTCAGTGTAGTGCACAAGCGCCTTCACTGTCAAATCTGTATTTCTAAATCAACTTTTATATGAGACAGTCAATATAACCTTCAATATTGAAGTTTTAAAATAATTTTAATATTAATTGTAGCTTGTAGACAATATTGAACAAAATTAATTACTGAGAAATTATAAACCATCGGCTTCGGCCAAAAATAGACCTTCGGTCGGACACTACTTAATAATGACATGAATGGCCAACAAGTCAATCACACAAAAGAGATGTAGTATTCCATATCTGTTGCTAATATTCTTCAAACATGTTATGTAAGATCAACTATGAAAAAAATTAAAAGAAAACAAAAAAATTCCGAAGCACATAGTACAAATATCTTATAGAAACAAATATCTTATAGTACACAGTTTTATTGTCCACATTTTTTTTGGTAAAAGAAATTTTCTCATAGTCAACCAACACATGAAAAATAATTTATCAAATTCACGCTAGTTCTAGAGAATAATAAACCCGATACATTTAAATAACTGATATTTGAATGTTGAGAGTAAGGACGAAATTAACATGAAATGCAGCAGTTTAGCCATGTTATTTATTTGGGTTATGAAAATTTTATTAATAGCGAAATTAAGTGAAAACTTACAGCATTGTAACATTTCCGTGAGAGTTTCTAGGGACATTTTGTCTGCTGCTTCAAACCCAGTTTCTAGTAGAACTGTAGAAACAGCTATGTTAAGAATTCGTCTTCTAGCGTCTGAACAGTTTTCTGCCTTTTCCGAAGTTTCAGACATTTTTAATGATATGAAACTTCAAATAAGCACCTCTTCTTTTTGTTATGAAATGAAATCACTAAATCCATGAAAAGTAAAATTCAGAGTGATGAGAAAGGTATTTATTTGTCAGAAATCAGAATTTAAGATTTCATATTGACAGTAGGACTGTTGATAAAATATCGATATATCGAAGTATCGATATTATTATTTAGAAATATAGATATTTATTACTAATACTTTTTTGGACGATATATCGAAAGTTTGATATTGAAATCTAGATATCGACACTCGATATTTTTTTAAATAAATTTTTAATTTTTTTCGGTAATTATTTTAACTACAACAATATGTAGCTAGTATCTATATACTTATTGTTGTTGTTAGTTATCACTTTTCCCTGTCACCTTTAGCATCTCTACTTCTACTTCGTTTATGATATGTGTTAATCGTGGGTCGTATCGCTTTTTCTGAGAATCGTATCGATATCTGATTTCGATTTTCAATATCGGATTTTAAAACTATATATTTTAATATCTGATATTGTTAGTAAGAGTATGTATTTTAAAATCTCATTCATTCGATGTCTACTCTTTTATAGTTTGTTAAAATATCAATTTATTATTTGAATTTCAACCTTATCGTTGCTGCATAAAAGTCACCCAACACGCACTTGTGATTTTGGTACAAATTATTGCCATCTTGCTCTAACTATATTCCTCTCGCTCGCTGCGGTAAAGATATATCTGCTTTGCGATGACTATCTGATATTCTCAAATTCGAAAACAAAGCCGATAAAATAAAATTGAAAAAAAATGTCGATATATTGAAATATCGATATTTTTTTTCGATATATCAAACTCCGATATTGATATATTTAAAAATATCGATATATCGAAAATCCGATATTTTAAAAAATATCAACAGTCCTAATTGACAGACAATTAGAGGCAAAGACTACAGTACAGTGCAGTACAGTGTATAATAGGGAGAATAGAGGTCTGCTACTAGAACCAGGATGTACGTATCAGATATTTTAGAATACTAGGCGCTACCTAATCCAAATGGATAATTACTAACTTGATCCAGTATTTACAGAAACTACACGATTTTCCCCCGTAAATATAAAAAAATCATAAAAGATCATATTTGCATGTATACGACTAGAACATAGAGGAATAAGTGGTTGAATATTGTGCTAAAAATGTAAGTATCACAGATCACTAAATATGTTAAGTATTGTAATCATACTAACGTCCGAGTAGTACATTACTATGGATTTACTCTCTGAACCAATTTTGGCCGCTACAATTTGAAAATTTTAATTTATGTGATTGGATCGCGTTCTCTTTTCTTGCTGGTTGAAAATCTTTATGTTTTGATTGAACCGGCCTAAGGATAGCATTCAAGAGTAGTTTATAATATATAATTCATGTAATTTTATCTATGAATATAAGAAGACGAATAACTGCATTTATCATTCTACAAAATCCCTTGAGCCATGCCATTTACTAATAAACTAGCGGTGTCTAGTCTGGATCACTTTTTTTTTTTTTTTTTTTTTTTTATTTGGCTTGCACTGTTTGTGCTTAGCCATTGTCAAAGTTTGGGAAACGGAAACGAAAGGAAATAGAAGTTGGAACGGATTTTTTATGGGATAGGTTCAGGAGGCTTAGGAATTGGGAGAAGGAAGATATATTTACACAATTTTATAATACATATACTTGGATGGAACTAATAATTGAATAAAAAATATTATTGAGAGAATTCTTCAAACTGTTTATTCGTTACCAGGCACTACACAGAAGGACATACAAAGACTAAACTAAACATAGATACCACTATATTATAAATTTATATACTCTTTCCAATACTCCCACTTAAATTTATAATACAGATCTCCTATCATTAACAAAAACTTAACACATAGAACATTAAATAAACAATAACTCTCTAACCACCATCAAGTTCACATTTAAAATCATCTTAGTTTCTAAACCATTAATCAATTTTCATAACTTTATCTCTTATAGACTCAAACCTTTTAACTGGCAGGGCCTTAGTCAAGAAGTCAGCTAGTTGACATGAACTTTCAACATATTTAATTAGTATTATCTTGTTCTCGACTTTTTCTCTAATGAAGTTATACCTTATGTCAATGTGTTTGCTTCGCTTATGGAAAACAGGATTATTAATCAACTTGATAGCACTTTGATTATCTACATGTAGAGTAATACAATATTGTGGTTCACCTATGTCTATCAAAAACTGCTTTAACCATAATATTTCCTTAGCTGCCTCGCTAGCAGCCATATATTCCGACTCTGTAGTCGATAAAGCTACTGTATTCTGTTTGCGACTGGACCAAGTAACGGGTCCGCCATTCATCAAAAATATGTACCCAGTTGTTGACTTTCTAGTATCCAAATCACTTGCAAAGTCAGCATCTGAGTAACCTACCAGTTCAGACTTATCATTATATACAATTGACACATCTTTAGTATTTTTTAAATAACGTAATATTCTTTTTACAGCAGTAATATGTATAGAACCAGGATTATTTACATATCTACTGACAAGATTCACCGCATATGCGATATCCGGCCTAGTTGCCGTTGACAAAAATAACAACGCTCCCACTGCCTCTCGGTATGGGAAACTTTGCGGCAACTGATTCTTACTGTGTGTTAGCTGTACATTTACATCTACAGGTGTACTACTGCCATTAGCGTCAGCCATATTAAACCTATTTAATATTGTGTCTATGTAATGTTTTTGACTAATAATTATACCTTCTTTCTTTTTATCTATTTCTAAACCGACAAAGGAGTTACACTTCATTATTTTAATCTTAAAGTTTTGTTGCAAATCATTTAGTACTACAAATAAAATATCCTTACTTTTAGACAGCAATAATCCGTCATCTACATAAAGGATTAAAATCACCTTGTAATTGTTGAAATATCCTACAAATATACAGTGATCAGATTGACATGACCTAAATCCATATGTAGTGAGAAAAGAACAAAACTTTTTGTTCCAACATCTAGAAGATTGCTTAAGACCGTATAGAGATTTGACCAACTTACATACTTTGTTTTCCGCTGTTTCAACTCCCTCTGGTATCTCCATATATATATCCTCCAGGAGCTCTCCATATAAGAAGGCGGTCTTCACGTCAAATTGCTCTATTTCAAAACCTTCTCTGGCAACTATACTAAGCAATAATCTAATGGAATCATACCTTGTTGTAGGTGAAAAAGTGTCTTCATAATCCAGACCTCTTACTTGAGTAAAACCCCGAGCACACAACCTTGCTTTGTACCTTTCTATTTCGCCTCTTACATTTTTCTTTATACAGAAAACCCATTTGCTTGTTATAGGCTTCTTGTCTGTTCTGTCAGTTATTATCCACGTATTATTTTCTTCTAGAGACTGAAGTTCCTCATTGATAGCTTTCTTCCATTCATCAGAATTTACACTATTTACAGCTTCTTGGTATGTATTTGGTACCTCCAACTCCGTTAAATTAGCCTCCAAAACTTTATTACGTCGTGGACGTAGTGTCATATAAGTACGTTCTTCAGTGTCGTTCACAACTTCGAACAGAGGATCATTTGCTTCGTCATTGTCATTTACATTTTCACTACATTCATTAGAGGAACCTTTTTGAGTAATATTTTCATCTTGTTTTTCATCTTTTTTATCTAGTGTCATTTGAAGATAATTTACTCTCTTTTCAGGTATACTTTGCTCATCAAACTTAACATCTCTTGACACAGTTATTTTCTTAGTATTTTGGTCATACATTCTATAGTTTTCATGTTCATATCCAACTAAAATCATTTTATTGCTTTTCTTATCTAACTTTCTTCTTTTCTCTTTTGGAATGTGAACATATCCTATGGAACCAAATACTCGAACATGTGTCATATTTGGTTTTTCACCACTCCAAAGTTCATAAGGTGACACATCCACTGTTTGACTTGAAAAGTTTCTATTTAACAGATAAACTGCACAATTAACAGCTTCAGCCCATAATTTTAATGGTAAATCTTTAGCATATAACATGGACCTTGCGCTTTCCATTATTGTACGCAACTCTCTTTCCGCTCGTCCGTTTTGCTGTGGGGTATAGGGAGCCGTGCATTCATGACTTATCCCTTTACTATCCAGAAATAACTTAAACTCTGTGTTTACGTACTCTCTGCCGTTATCTGTATGTAAAATACGAACATCATGTTGAAATCTGTTTCTCACCATAGCATTATATTTTATGAAACAATCGAGTACTTCATTCTTGTGTCTCATGAAAAATATTTGCCGATAGCTCGTTGCTCCATCTTTAAATAACACAAAATACTTCATTCCTGTGACAGATGGTTCTTCAATGGGACCACAAACATCGCTATAAACGATATCACCAGGTTGTGTAGGGCTTCTTTGTGATTTCATAAATGGTAATCTAGCTTGCTTACCATATTGACAAGCTTCACAAATAAAATTCTCATTGCCAGTTAAAGTAATAGGAAGTGCTCCATTTTTACTCATTTTCTTAAGTTCATTTACATTTAAATGACCTAACCTCTCATGCCACACTTTGATGTCTGTTTCTACTACATTACAGTTTTCTTGAATAATAGTCTTAATCTGTAACTCATAAAGATTATTTTCTTTTAATTGAGCACACATTACAACGACATTGTTTTTCATTATCAACGCATTCTTATTATTCTTTGTAATTATATAACCTTTTCTAGTAACAGCTCCTTCTGAAAATAAATTTCTTCTCAACTCGGGTACATAGAGAACATCCTTCAATATACATCTTTCCCACTGTCCTTCTACTAATTTATTAATCAATACAGAACCTTTTCCATGTACAGTAATATTCTGTTTATTTCCAAGCTTAACATTTCCATATTTAGAACAATCGTATTCTTCTAATTCAGAAAAAAATTCTCGTCTATATGTCATGTGAACTGACGCACCGCTGTCTAATATCCAAACGTCTTCTTGGACATATGATAAACTTTTTTCTGCGGTAAGTGCCAGCATGTCATTTGACTTCTGGTTTTTATGATATGATCTCTTTGG